TAAGAAGCGGAGGGAAGGCGGTGCGTTAGATAGGACCACTCCGCCCCAGACCTGCGCCAAAATGTGGGGATCAGGGCCGTCGTCGATGTGAGTGTGTTTGTCAGGCTTGCTAATCGCACCCTGAATGCCGTGTGTGTGAGGCTGTCAGGCTGCAACTTGGCGGTAATGTCAATGTATATGCTGGGAGTTGGCCTCGTTTGTGAGGTTGGATTAAATGTGTTCCTGAGGTACTTCATCGATGCGAAGTAACCACGTACCAACTGAAATGCCGAAGTGGGTATTGCATTAGTTGGCATCATCTCGGCGCTGGTGTTTGAAGCGTCACAAGAGTGATCTAGCTGGTACAGGTTTGAGGAAGTTGTAAATGAAGTGGTGATACTTTTCCCTACGGACTACAACAGAGTTGCTGTGTCAGCTGCTCAGCATGGGCTTAAGCTTAGGCCTTTTGAAGTGCGTGCATTCTTGAGGTCGTTGTTAAATTTCAAAGAGCCGAGTCGAGTTGGCCGAGTGCTCTCTACATTGAAATAATCGCTAGCCATTGTTGTGCCTGTCAGTGTACGTAACTTTCTTGAGTCGTTGGCAATTTCTTAAGACCACGATTGGTGTGAGGTGTACCGACGGGCAACACAGTGTAGATTGGCTTGCACACGTACGCGAAATGCGCTGTTGCAAGTCTGAGTTGGGTCTGTGGGGCGTCGTGAATCATGATTTGGTGTCGTCAAATCGTCCCTTCGGTTTGTCGAAGCCTGTTTTCTAACTGGCTGCATTGCAGCTCATCAATCGAAGGAAAGCGGCCAGATGCGGGTATTCTGGCATACCGAACTGAACTTCACGTTTTTATGCACACTGGCAAATGGCGCAATTCGCCTGGAATGTTGCGGCCCATCCAAAATTCTGCCCATATCCTGCACCTCCACATCATCATTTGATGGAAGCTAGTTTATCAATAGCATACACACTGGCTTAATGCCATGCAACTTTGGTTTAGCAGTCGCAATCTATATTGCAGTCACGTTGCAGAGTTTTAAATAGGTGTGGTAATCTAGATATGCTCAAATTAAGCACGCAAACGATTCCTGCCGCTTCGCGAATATCATCTCAAGGCGTTCAAAAGCCTGTGGTTGTTTGTGTGAAGGCATGTCAGCCGTGTGTTGGCGTGCTGGTGCAGTCGGGTTATTGGTTGTGGTTGGAGGCAGTTGTGGCATTAAACTACCACAATCACAGTCGCAATCGGCGGTATGGTTTAGGCAGATGTCTTGGCCTTTGATCGTTCTTTTGATGTTCTAGTGGTATCGCGTAGGGCTGCAGGATAATCGTTTGCCTACGACGAGTCGCGACTGCGCGCTGTTTGCGAAGTAATGCGGTCGATGTGGAGGCTGTTCTCACGTGTCCTCGGTGCTACCAACTGGAGAGCGTTTTGTGGGTAGGCGTGTGAGGGTGTCATGTGCTGATTGTGTAGCGGGACCAAACCACCACCACCACAGGCGTTTGTGGGTTTGAGCGCACACATGGTGCTGCTGTGCTCAGGAGGCGTGTGAATTTGGGAGCACTAAAATTAGACTGGTAACTGCAGCCTATCTGCGCAAGTAGACCCTACCTAACCAACGTGTGCTTGTGTGCATGCGTGTTCGTGTTGTGAATATTGTAAGGTCACGCATGCCCAGATTCAGCGTTTACTCACCCTCCATCGGACTCCCCGCCAAGCCACTGTCTTTGTTTGAACCCCCGATGAGCGCCAAGGCTTAACCTTGTGTACCCCCGCAAGTCATCCATGTTGGCTCACCCACGTAACATGGACCCTGGTGTCCATGCTTACGATCGATAAATATGAGTGAACAGCCACTGCTGACACGCACACATCGCGAACATAACATTCTTCCCTGGGTGCTTGGTGTCGAATCGGTCGTCGTAACAGCGAAAACACTTGAGTTGCTTTGATGCACGTATGAGACCCGCATGTGGTAGCTCATCGTGTCCAAGTCCTGGAGCGGTATTTTACATCATCCACTTCCTGCGTCCCGCTGGCTACACACATGAACCGCCGTTATGGAAGTCATTGCTGGAGAGACGTGATGACTGGGCTTACCAAACCCACTGATTTCGGTTTGTGCAACCAGATGATCAGCTCGAGTAGTCACTAACACGCGGAGATTGACTTCCATTCTCATTACCACTTCATGAGATCCACCGATAATTTCATAGTGAAAGGTCACGAATGATTGAACAAAAATAGACAATAACTGGTTCTTTGAGTAATCAACGGGATGCAGATGCCAGTATGTATCGTTGAGGAGGCACCTAAGAGCATTACCTTCACCACTGGTATTTACTTCTACGCGTGTCGCCAGTCTTTGTTGCAAGGCCACACATCTGTAGCACACAAACACGCACACACACAGACACTCACCAAGATTGATGAAGTTAGGTGGGCGTGCCTTATTACAGATGCATAGTCCGTGAAAGCCTTGATGTCGCCCACGTATTGGCCTATTTAGCTTGCCACTCATCCGAATGTTTACACTGAGCAGTCCGACCATCCACGCGTGTGTGCATCCCCCAATTCACACTTGACCCGCATGCGTTGCACAGATGCACACAGCCAGACTACCACTGGCGTGTTCACGGGGCAAACACACGTGGCCATCATAATCATCCCCACCATAGTGATTCCAACACTGGTAGTGAAGTCGAGTGTGGTTGTCAGGTGGCGCTTGTGTGATAAACAGCGGTCAACTTGGGGTGCAACCGAAATGCACTTAGAGAGTCGCGAGAAGGCGAAAAGACGTGACACACATGAACGTTCGTTCACCATGAAGCAGTTTATGGGTGCGTGGATGCAGCGTGTTTGCAACGGCCAAGTGCGCCGGCTGGGTTGGTTGGGTGGATGCAGCACCGAGTGAATGGTTCGGGGGGGGGCGGCAGAAACGAGTGGATGATTGTTAAGCGTGCAGAGGCATTTCATACAGGACCGTGCAAGAACAGTGCTGTCAAGTGTGTGCTTGCATCAAGTGCCGCACCACAGTTGCAAATCTACTTGCGGTAACTCCGAGCCGACTACACACCCGCCCTATGCCTTGAGAGCACATTGGAGCAGCAGCTTGCGGTCTGGTTTACCTTGCATCAGCGCCACACTCGGTCAATCTACAAGCCGATATCCATCAACGCTCGTGTGCATCACCCTCCCATCATCATCATGCAACTACCCGCCTTTTGTGTGGTTCACTTGCCCCGGTTGGAGCATTTACGGCACGCAAGCTCGGTGGCGACACAGCATGCAGCCATTAGACAGAACCCGAATCGAAAATGCATATGCATGTGTTGGTGGACAGTAAAGCGAGGGGACCAACACTACTTGTGTGGTTACTCTAAGGAAAGTTGCAATGGTGGCTTCTGTTCCAATGGTGAAGTAATCTGAGGCGACTCGGCAAGGCCAGTTGCGTACGAGGCCTCGCTGAATTAAAAACAGCGGTTAGCCACACTAATTAAGTCGATCCCACGCAAATGTGATGGTGGTGTTTTTAAAGTCGACTTAACCCGAAGTAAGGCCAAACCAAGGGTGGTTTGAGTTGGAGGCGTTTAGGCCAACGAATTAAGCACGGACAAACTCTGTGAAGCAGTTAAGGTCATCGTCATTGGCTGACGCCCATTGTTGGGACCCTGATCGACGCCTAGTCCGATTACTCATGTCGACGCCAACCAGGAATAATGGGGGACTGTCGCATCACCACATTCCGACATGGCGAAATCACGTGCGACCACTGCGTAGTTTTGAAATGCGGTGGCATTAATATCATCCCACCTCTGTAAAGCCACTTGGCGAGATTAACACAATGCCATTTAACCTAGAAATACGAGGCAGCTTCTCCTATTTCAAATTTCTCATCCTACGTTGTGTGCGAATTTATGCGTAATTTTGAGCTCGCGTTCGTCCTGTCAGAGGATTCAATGCGTTCACGTTCTACCAAGATGTGAAGACAGATTTTCTCATTCTTAGACCAGTGTGCTTGTCCAGTTTGGGAGTTGACCCTTTGTTCAAGGCCTACACGACCCCCTGAGTTTGTTCAAACCTAAATTCTCACGTTCATCGTTGTGGGAAAACAGTCTAATGCCCGTGGCCACATGCATTGTCCCATTCCAGCATCTCCTTTATTCTCCGTTGGTTCACGTGACACAGTCCTATTTTAAGCAGCCTGGGGTAGTTTGAATCAGCATGCACCATTTGTTTGGTTCCGCGGTTCCCAGCTGTCGGTGGCGTCTCTAGTTAATAAGACCTTATTTAAGAGTGTGTAGGATAACACCTACATTTGACATTGACTCACTTCTAGAGTGCGTCTGATTCGGATACAAAACCAACTTGCTTTGTTAAGCACGTTTTGCTGCTGTAGTGGACAATTTCAGTGCCGTAGTGGACAATTTCCCCGTGGCTCGTTTACTCAAGCATGCAATGACCTCGGCGCTTGTGAAACTCCGAACACACCCACGACAAATCACATGCACACGCACACCCACACGCACACACACATGTACAAATTCGGAAGAGTATTCGACAAATCGAGGAATAAACTCCCAATAATGCACAGCAATGGCCCTTGTAGGCTTGCGAATTGGACATTAAGAATCCTTGTGGAGCAGCACTACTTGGGAATCATAATGACACTAGCTTGTCCACCATTTTTAAGTACTCTTTTTGGCGCAAATGGCTGATGAAATCTGCCCTGGCTGTTTCGTCATGACCACGTTAACCGCCAGCAGCCAGCCGAGTGACTGCAGTTAAAATGAAATCGGTGGGAGTGAGTCACGCGCATTCCTTCCCAGATGTGAAATGGTGCATTGTGACCAATCCCCCAGCGAGCCAGCATATTGCTGCTCCAAATCAATCCTAAACCTGTCTCTATCACGCTCTACCGGTGGTTCGTGCTAGTTCTTCTTGACAAATTTGGTTAAATTAGAACCAAATATTGACGGAGATTCATGTTATGGCGGTATCGCGTAGGACTCATCCGAATGTGAAGGGTTATTGTCAATTTCAGCTGTGCAATTATTCTGGACCACACGGGACCCTAGTGCATCCAACGACTCCATCTTCGTTTCACACTTAGTAATAGTCATGCGCAAAATGCACCAGAACGTGTTTGGCCTTAACGTTAAAGCGAGTGATTATCCTATTTCGTTGTTATAATAACTGATGATGGGTTACATTTTGCTCCAATACGCTGTAATTTAATTTGAGCAATTATCAACGTGTTATATTAAGAAAACACAAGAAATTCCTTAGCAAGATAAATTCAAAGTGGTAGGCCACTAACCTTGGACACCACGATCTTGCAAACATGACCCGATTGGTAAGGTGGTCACGACGGCCCGTGCGTCAAGTCACCAATGGACGTTAACAGGCGTGCCAACGCCCACGGCCCCCCTGGCACACCCTCCCCCGTTTTTTGCACCGAAAGTGTTCACACAGTGGCGGCGTGCTGCGTCAGGCCATAATAACTACTAGTGGTCCGCCGTGTTGGTGAATCGACGCCTGCGCCACCAACTGTGGCGTGCACTTGGCCCACACCAAACCACAAACTAGCGTCCACAACCGATGCAAATTAAGCAGCATAGAAGCTTGACCAGAAAATAACCGACTTTGCGGTAAACAGGCTTTTGCCATTATTGACAAGGCCCACCTCTGTTGTGTCGAGGCACAAATTCCTGTGCTTTAAACATGATTTAGGCCCAAAATCACACTTGCTTTCAACTGAACAAGCATTTTAAACTAACGTTAAATAATAAAATGAATGGGAGTGTGGATGTTATGGTGCAAGTAGTAATAGTGCTCTAATAGTTGTCTTATTATTCATAAAAAAATAACGGAAAAACGAGGATTTCCAGTTGACGCCACCAAGGTAACTTTTGTGCAACTGTTGAGACTCTTGTGCTTTCCTAATATCAGAATGGACTATTGTCGAAGTTTTACTTTCGTTCTTTTTTTCGGTATTGCATCTAGCTGTACGTGGGCGATGGCTAGAATTGTTGGAAAGCGAACTGCTAGGAGGTGAATTTGTTCCTTGTACGGTGACATAGCAACGAAGTGTATGATTTTATGTGTGGCGGAAGTTGGCTGTAAGATGTGAAACATGGTCATTATGTGGTAGAAGAAAGGCACATACTAAAGGTTTGTGAATAGCAAATAGTGCTGCTGTGAGGTCTGTGTGTTTGCATGTGCAAAGATAATTGCAGGGTAATTATTTGGTCATGAGTGTCTTATCATCCCTCGATTCTAAATATTTCACACCTACTTTTACTGGTGTTTCCTGCATCAGTTCCACACTTATCCTCTTCAATCACCGCCCAATTCTCCTCCGCATACATTGCTTCTTGTTTTAACGCACACGGTTGAGGAATTCAATATTGACATCGATCTAACCATACCTTCAAATTCTAGTATTCAGCTGGCATATGTGGAGATTTTATCTACTATAATGGCACCAAACAGTACAGAAGACTGTTACTGACGGGTACTCATGCCGCCAACTTTTAATTCATACAATTGTGACATACACTTTACGAAAGGAGCGTTTCATTGCAAGTGACTGGGTTGCAGCTTGTCGGTGCTAATTATTTCGGGACCACACTTCAATCTATCTCTTGATGTTGAACTACGTTAACGATAGTTTGTGGAAGTGCTTCTTGAAGCAGCATGATTTTTCACCTGCACTCATTAAAGAAAGAAATTTATGATATGCAATGAGGTGTCGCTTAGTCACCGTAACATCAATTAGCCTCCTACATTAACCGAAATTATAGTAGTATTCAAAAGACGCAGTTTGGACAGAACTGTCAATATAGAAACATATTATATGAATAAAAGCAGCAGTTAAAAAAAACGGGAAAACGTAATCTGAAAGGTGGCTCTAAGATTGATTACTTCCGACTATCGACATCGAATGGGTGCGGATTGATGATGGTTACAGCAGCAAGTGTCTCTTATAGTAATGATTAAAGGTTCGTTCATTCAAAAGTAAAAAAATTCAATGAGTACTACAAATGCCACTATAAGAATTCTCACGAGTCCACTTATCACAGAATGAATAAACAAAAAGTCAACATCTCTGAATTAGTTACCATTGGCATTACTTGAGCTCATGTCTTTATTTTAAACCTAAAATGTCTATACCCAATAATAAGCTTTAATTGTCTGTGTGGATCAAGTGTTAATGCTTGTATTCTATCATTCCTCTCGTTCAACATTAATTTAGATGGCGAACATCATTGGCCAGTTTCGAGGCTAGCGTAATTTTGATGATAAGTTCGAGTTATTTCTGAATACACAGAACATTGGAATAGGGAGATTATTTAATTGGCTTAACTGGTGGATATTACGAAACTGTTCCATTGGAAAAAACCCGGTGGTAACTGCCATTTCAACCCATGCACTTTTCATATCAACATTTTTGAGAGTTCAGAGGGTGAAGTTAAATTAGAAGTTGTCTCACCATATAGTTTTAAATAATATCAACAGTTCTTTCAAAACCTGACACAACTTTGATTGCATTACATTGATTCTGCGAACAGGAAAATGATTAAACACGTAGAGGCATTTTAATTATTTTTGACGATTGTATTTGGAAGTCAGAATTAGCAAGGCGAATATAGTTGCAACAGTTTCAGAATGGTCCAAGCTTTCACACATGAATAGCAGAAGGACTTCCTTTACTCTTCACGTTTTGTTTTCTCAAATCTCCACCACTTTAATTGGTTTTTTGGCAAATGCCTTCGCGATTGGCCCAAAGCTCGTGTGCCTTAGGTGAGGCGCGTAATCGAAATCGTTGGGTTTTGGGTTTAATGCAATGCCCGACTCGAAAAGCTTTTACTACGAGGCAGCACGTCTCCTATGCTTTGTTTGCTCTAAACGAGCGACCCTGAAAAGCGCATTTTATAGTCAAGATGGCGAGGTATATTGACACCTGACTAACAATTAATAAACAGAAAGACAAAGCCGTTTTTGCCCTTGTTGCCAAATGCCTTGCATTGAGGACAATAGTTGCCAGCGGCTTGATAAAAGTTGGCGCCATTGAAAGTGAAGCCTTAGAGTCATGCAAGCATATTGTCGATATGAAATCAGAAGCGTGTAATGTCTGCCTTTTAACTGTTGTGTCGTTCGACATTTGTTGCTGTCGAAAATCCTTTGGCCAACGAAGTGTTGCCTTGAGACTAATTGGGAAGTACAGTCAAGTCGGGAATGTCGCTTCAGCTCTTCGAAAAACACTTAAGACCCTTATCAAAGTCGGTTAGTTCTACAAACATATTCGGAATTAGTTCTCTAGACGGTTTTCACTCCAGTTCTCAAGTTAGGGTTCCGGTGTATTTACGAGTCATCGAGCCTATGCATACTGTACTGGATTGTTTGGAATCTTCAAAGGACCCCGTTTTAACCCATGTATCATATGACAGAGATGTTACATCATACAAAAAGTATTTTTTTTCCGTGATTCTTACGCATTATTAGGTATATCAAACTGGTACAAAACCTTGAAAAGGGTCAATTTACAACAGATTTCCATTTTCCGCATCTTCTGTTGTTATTCGCTCCTGGAACCGATCTTCATATGTCTCCAATCCTCACACTTCACAAAGCTGTAATCCAGGACAAGGTAATTGTATATGTTTCATTCATTACATTGATTTGATTATTCGTTTTTATTCGGGATTGTAAAAATTTTTATTTTAGGCTAGTTGCATTCCTGTATTGGTTTTGTTAAATGTGCTCAAATTTAATAAGTCCCAATCAGTTGAGATTTTGGACGCTTGTGCGGCTCCTGGGAACAAAACTACGCTCCTCTTGTCGGGTCTGAAAAAAACGAACCAGACTGGTCGCGTCGTGGCTATTGATCGTGATCCCAAAAGGTAGAAGTCTATGACTTATGTTCTCACTTCATTATCAGTTGCTTTATTTGTCGGTATCAAATCGTGAAATGACCCCAATTTATACATTTAGGGTACATGTTATCTAAGTAGAACAAAATCCATTCTACATTTTGCATCTGATTAAATTGTGTTTGAATACGCTATGTACATTCAAATGTTCTGAGAAAAAATGCGTTAGCGATCTTTCTAGATTTAACATATTTCAATTTTACTTCATCTTGACTCTTCGGCTTCTATGTTTAGGCCCTCTTTTATGCATTATGTATTTTTTTATTGTGTTGAATTGTCAAACTATGGTCGAACGAGATAATTCGTAACAAATCAAATCTCCGTATTCAAGGGAACAGGCGGAATCCCTTTGACTTACAATTTTACATGAAGAATCTACCGATTTTACGCGGAACGACGCCCATGGTCTTGTGCGTTACTGACGTACTTAAATGAAAACTTAACTGTCAACTCACCAAGTTTGGGTTTTTATTAGTCTTTCTGGAAGTTGCGGCTTTACATTCCGAAGGAAATATTTAGTCAAAAGTGCTCAATTGAACGTTGAGCACAAAGGTCCTCCATCTTACACATTTTATGGAGAGCAGCTGTGAATGCTTGGTATTTGCTACAAATGGAACCACTTGTGAAGTGTAATCTAGCGCATTTAACCCTTTCCATACGAGACTTCATGATTCGCAAAGGGCACTCTTCAGAATTTGGGGTTAGGTTTTGGAGTATTTAAGACTAATAGGGAAAATTCAAGTTTTCCGTAACTATTTTATTGCCTTTTCTCTTTCTCTGTGCGCATTTTTGACATTCCTTAGCTAATAAACTTTTCAGATTCAAACAACTCTGTAATAATCTTCGGCGCATTCACGACGGTCCCGTCAAAGTGAATGGCAAAGTAGATGGTGGTCGAACACAGCAGAAGTCGTCAGGTGAACTGATTTGTGAAGCAAATTGCCGCGATTTTCTCTCGATTGATCCGGTCGGTGAAGAAGAATATTGTAACATCAAGGCCATTCTCGTTGATCCAACCTGTTCCGGTTCGGGCCTCTGTTTTAAAAGCCCCGAACTCTTGGCGGAGAAGGAAGAGGGTGAGGAGAAAACTGAGCGAATCAGACGACTGGCCAACCTTCAAGCGAAGATTCTCAGACATGCACTGTCGTTTCCTAATGTTGACGTGGTCGTCTATTCCACTTGCTCAATCTACAAGGAGGTGAGGAACATCGGTGTCATAGTCAGTTCGTTTTTTTCCAAATAGTTAGCACGGTCATATTCAACCAGACTATCAACAATGTTCCTAAGCATTCTTCAGTGCGGTAAATTCGCCTTCAACTTTAACAAGCAGTTATTGTGATGGTGGGAATCCACGGTGCTTGCATGGGGCGAAGTATGAGTAATTTAAATCGATTCAACACACAAAAATTGATGCTATTTCCGCTGTAAGGGATAATTTTGGCACTTTGGTGGGGTTATTATTTTGCCAAGCTGAGTTTCTACTTTTATTGATATCCGAAATCCCGTTGAATTTCAATTTAATTGAGCAAACACCCTTGCACCCGTGATGTTAGCTGGAGCTAAAGCCCATAAACTTGACCTTGTTGGGAGTCTGGAGGTTATAATTTGCATTCTGAACCATAACAATACCACAACCATCCTATTCACCGTCACATAGTGCACTTGCGGATGCAATTTTTTACTCCCACATTTCCCATTGTCATCTTTCGACGGTCTTGGGAGGCAGTGTTGATCTGTGAAGTCAACCGAGGCTTTCGTCACTTGACAGACTATCACCACAACAGGCAGCTACTAATAGGCCCCTGTAGAACGGAAAGCCAACTCTTGATAATTTTTTTTCTAATCACTTATTTGTGCTTTAAAAATGCTCTACCACCGGAGTCTCGATGGTTAAACTTGCGTTGCACCCGTTCAGGAAAACGAGGCAGTGGTTCGTGAGCAGGCGGAGGCCTTTGCCGGGGACTTTCACCTGACTACAATATGGAAGGAGACTGCAATCGATTCCGGGCAGGAAAACCCCTTTGCTCCCATCGCCCCATGGAAGTCCCGCGGCTTTGCGGATACTGATGACCAAAAGATGTCGCGCTGCCTGCGATCCTCTCCCGAGAAGGATCTTACCATCGGCTTTTTTGTGTCGTGTTTCAAGCGCCGGAAGCATACCAAAAAAACCACTTTGGTGTAATTTGTAAAAGTAAAAGGTGTTTAAATAAACATAATTAAACACAAGACTTTTGGCTCCGTTTGGTTTGTGGTCAAGGTGCTTTTGAGTCAGTTTGTGCCTATAGTGTGGTATAGAATGCATTTTTATGCACACTAAGTTGACGTGGGAGAGTTTGTGTTACACGAAGTTTGGTGATGGCCTTAAACTGTCGTGACCGCGGGGTCCTATGGAGCCTCGTCGACAAGATGCGAGGATTCTTCGCTAGAAATGCAAGAACTGCAGCGCTCACCATTTAGGTTGTTCTTGTTTTTAGATGCAGTCTCCCGCGGGCTCCCCTCATTCGTCCTCCCTCTTGCCGAACAATGAAAATGTAAATATGGAAGTTTGTACACCCTGATTTTTCTCCTACCTGTTGCACAAACTAAGGCAATTGAATGCGAATTCTCTCGTGGGGTTTCAAGAAATCTAGTGTGGGTGTGTCGTTTTTGAGTTTCACGAAATAGCTTAGCGTTAGATTTAGTGAACCTAGTAAGTGCTGGAATCGTCTTGCGTAGTGGCCCTCATCTCTTACTTCGACAACATCGTGTTATATCGATTGACAGCCCTTGTCACAGTCAATCACATTTGTCGCCACATTTCCCAGACGTTTTAAACTTTTTCATAATAGACAAACTATCACTGGAAAGGCAGTCTAAATGAACTTGAGGCTGTTTGAAGACATTGTAAAGAAAGGGCTATCCGCCGAACCTAATGAATTTGCGCTCTTGAAATACTTCGGTGTTGTGCTGGTTCCTTCTGCATCTGGTACCTGTGTATTTTTATTACATAACATCACTGCATCAGTATTTTCCTTCTGCACCTTTAAAGTGCGTTTCTTTTTCATGATCTTTTGCTCTGATTGTGCCCGACATTGTTAAGTACCACATGTGTTGATCGTGCATCACTGCGATCCATTACACTCTTACCTGCAGTTTGGTGGTACTTGTGGTGTCAGCTGGACCGTTTGTATTCATAGTTCTACACCAAATGCGTAAACCATACATCTGTCGTCAATATATCAAACAGTAAGATACGAACTCGATGCACGAGAGAATTTCTTGGTGCTCCCAGTTCCATAATCCCAACCAGAAGCACCACCTATGATCCGCGACATCGATATCGCTTAAAAAAATATCACACAGTATGGGTCTACGAATCTGGATATTTGGTGAACTGCTACTAAAAGACTGCTGGTCACAGTGAGGCGCACATTTCAACTTTCCTGCTGCCTACAAATTCAAGCTCGTTACTGGAGTGATGTGTCGTCTTTCTGTGCTAAGAGAATAAAATAATGTGATATCAATTCGCAAGGCCTCGCTACGGAAAGCTAAGCATTTAGTCGCGAGTGTTTACAAGAGGAAATAGAGCTTTAAACATGGGTTTCTCGTGCTCATTCAAGTGTTTACTATTTTTTTAATTCATGGAGTTCTCCCGCATGAGTTGTATCATTTTCTGACGAAAACCATTTGCTTCCAATCAAAAAGATTCCAGCATCCTGCTATTTCGTGTTATAACGATTAAAATAAGCCAATTACGATGGTCTGTGATCCAACTCTACTGTGAGGCAAGGGTAAAATTCACAAAAAAAGATTTCGTTTGTTCGTGTATAGCCGCGTAAACTACTTAAAGAACACATGACTGCCGGAGTGTGGTCTCGACCTAGCAGATCTACGTCGACTCGAGGAAAACGGATACATTTGGTTAACAAAGCTGTCTTCCCACCCGTTTATTAAAAAAATTAAACTCTTGCTTTTTAGCACGAGGAGTCTGCGGTGCTGTCGAAACCAATCGGTGACCCAGCCGATGGTATTCAGGAGACGATGGAAAAGTGCAATGCACCCGACGACGCTGAAACGCAACCAGCAGCCACGCAGAAAGGAAGGAAGCGCACCAAGTTGGAGCGCTATGTTCTGCGGAAAGAGGCACGACTTTTTTGTCAGACGAATTCATGGATTTAAATGTTCCAAGTCGACATTGCTATAGCATTATTGCCCTTCGTTATGGGGTAACAGCAATTAAATAACCTTGGAGAAATATGTAGGGTATTGACAAAAATAGGTTTTGGTAGAAATTTTGATTTCATGAATGCATAGTGGTTTTCGCATAAATTAACTTGCTGGAATCGTCCAAAGTGCTGTAATAATTTGCTTTTGTGCACTACTCTTGGACACTTCTCAGTGCACCTGAACAGCATTGAGACAGAATATCGGAAACACATGCACAGTGTAGGCTAATGGCTACTGCTTTGGGCTTAATCTTAATGTGAAAATCTTGCTGTGTTCAGGAGAGGCGAAGCAACAGGAAGACTCTGAAAATGCGAAAGCGTGCGCGACGAGAAGCCGCGAAGGCGAGTGGCACTCCCCTCCCGCCGAAACCTCGGCCTACCGTGAAAATGGCCGATTCTGCCTGCAAAACCCGTGTTGTTCTCGATTGCGCTTACGATCACATGATGTCGTTCAAAGATGTTTGCAAGCTTGCTCACCAGGTAACTGCCAACTTCTGAATCTCACTGCTTTTAATAGTCTTGATTTGTCGTGTTAGGTAATCGTTTTTTTGTATCAAAGAATAGTGCAAATATGTTATAGCATTACCGTCCAATTTGGGGCGGCCGTGTCTGAACTAGGGGACCATCGTTTAACGTACTTCCGACACCACTGTAACTCCATAGCACTTTGATTGGGCGTCTCCAAGACATTTTATCCTTTATCTCTCCTCGTCCTGATTGGTGCACAATTCTTTACTAGCTGGCGCATTGCTACTCGGATAACAGGCACTTGCAGGCTCCTGTGCAATTGTACATCACGGGTCTGGGCTCTGCCTTTAAGGATCGTCTTGGCGCCGAGGTTTGCAAGCCCGATGAGAAGAGCACGCTCGCTCGACTTGAGAAGGTGGACGCCCAGAACTGGGATGCTCACCTCAAAATGGTGGGTTCTTAATCAATCCCACTATTTCACATCTTGGGTATTAAAAACCTCCTGAGGTGTTTTTCACTGGCTCTTGTTTGTACGCGCTGGCGAATGCCCTACGCTCCTGTAAATGGCCAAATGCTATTTTTAATCAGGTGTTCTTTCAATAAGCACGAGATGCTGTGGTAACTTTCGTGTTCTCTGGACCAGTGTGCAGTAGCACTATCGAGGCCCACACAGTAACAGTTTGGCTTGTAGGTGTTGCGGACTGGGACAAGTCAACCGATCGGATACTTAGTTTACTCAATCGCCAGTTCTGATAACACTTTTCCAGCTTCTGAAGTCCCATCTATTTCATCAACTGTAATCTTGACGTTTTGCTCTAAAAGCGTTTACTTTTAGGTTCTCCTGATGCCTTTTTTTCTATCCGTATGACTACACACTATTCTGCATCTATAATGCTATGAGGTTTTTAATTTGTACTAGCGTGAACCATGTGAGAAGGACATTGTCGGTTATGGATTAACCACTAGCTGAGAAACTTTCAGGCTCAAACTGCTTTAGTAGCCTAGCTTTGACGTAATTTTTTCCATGTGCCAGTGAAAGATGCAAGCCTTACTAACACCCAACCTCTCAAAACCGGCCTTTTATTGCTACAGGAAGACTACACTGAACTCTTTCCTGCTTCCTCGATTGTTTATCTGTGCGCTGAATCGCCTTACGAATTGCCCGACAAGTTCTTGCCTCCCTCGGAGTGCGTCTCCTCCGACACCAAGTGCACTTTTGCATCCGAAGACGTCTACGTGATTGGCGGGCTCGTGGACCACAACCACCACCGGGGATTTTGCTACGAACAGGTTAGGCTATTTTTTATCTATCAGTTTATGGTGTTTTCAGGTATAACCATGGGCTGTCTGATTGGTTAGTAATATTTTAGAGAGAAGCCTCCCAATCACCAAGTCCACCATAAAGCACAAGGAAATCACACCGCAGTGTACCTCAATCCAAAATAACTTGTGGCTTTAATAAGCCACGCTTAAACATGCCTGGAACACTTCTGCAATTGCATTTTCATTAAACCGTTTCACGTTAGCCTATCGGAAGGCGTTTAGAAAATAGGATTTCATGTACAATAGTCATATGTTCTAATTAAACCTTATGTCGGTGAAGTGGTCAGATTAGACGGAAGTAAAATGCACCCACGTACGTGTATTTGTGTATTTGTGTCTACAGGCCCAGAAACGCGGCCATCGCACAGCCCGCCTTCCCATAGACCGCGTTGGCGTCGAATTAGAAGGCAGGAAAGTTCTCGCCATTCTCCATGTCTTCCAGGCGCTTGCCTCCGTTCTCTCCGGCTCCATTCCTGATTGGTCCGCTGCACTGAATGCCGCTCTGCCCCCTCGCAAATGCAAGGAACCAAAAAGAGATCGTTCTCGTGTTACTGAAGCCCCACCAACCATAGCCCCTCAAACCAAAGAACTTTCGTCACCTCGCCATGTAAAAGGTTAACAGAATAAACCGACACATACAAATTGTGGAATATAAGGTTTAAAGGGAATCGAAAATAGAATAGCCTCAACGTTAGAATAAATAGACACTGAGATTAATTAAAGGCTTTCTCGACATCGTTAACCTTCATCAACATCTTTATCGCCGTATCTTATTACTTCGATTACAAGTCGATAGTGGTAGCTTTGAGGTGCTCAAGGTGCCCAAACTTTTGGTTGTGCGGTTACACAGCAGGTTGTTGCAAGCGGGGCGACTTTAAGGAAATCCACTAACAGAATCGCGTTCCTATATGGTGTGATCTTGGCTAAATAATCTAACTTAAGCCTTTCAAGCGGTGTACCGTTCGCATCATGACCGAACCAAACAAACGTCATAGTAAGAATGTAACTTAAAAGCAAATAACAACTTTAAAACTCTTAGGGGTCAGCGAAATGACTCGTGAATGTTCGAATTTGCTTATTTATCTTCCTTGTATTCTGGGGTGCATTATTTGCTTCTACAGAAAGTGGAGCTTCGAAAACTAAGGGTGTGTTTATCATGTTAAGTGAGTAGTTACATTAGTAAGATTTTTTCCGGCACATCCATTGAACCCAGCATTAGTGCAAAGAGTAAAGCGATGGCAGGATGTGGTGGACATAAAAATCAGTTCACTTAAAAGGATTGACGGGAATTTGACTGCGTTAACGTAGTTGCGGAAAACTTGTGGGGAGAGGAATGTGGCTAAGTCACATGTGCCAATCCTTTTTGAAAAAAATCTGCTTAATGATCTCTTACCAGAAACCACTGCTGAGGTCCAGTATAATCTATCTACTGATAATTAAGCATGAAACCGCAAATAAGGTCATAATTGCTGCCTAAAATTTCTCAAAAACTTTTTCACATTTTGTATCTTTAGATGTAACCACGGTAGAACTGTCGTGAATCCTGTTTATTCAACCCCCTAATCCGGTCACTCCACCTCCTACACAGAGTTCCCCTTGTCGCAGCATGTCGCCAGCCGCGCGAATCCTCAACTCCCCTTTCATTAGCACGAATATGTATCTTGGAGTGTCCCCACACATAGATCTCGATGTTAGCGCATGTATGACTCACACATTCGAGCAATAAATACACACGCGCAAACACCACACACGACACAACGACACGAACGTAGTTGAACTCTGAAGTAAACGCTTGTGTTCGTCCTCTCCGGCATTTCCTTTCATCGAGGGTATTAGGCAAGCGTATTTGGCCAGGGTTAATTCCGTGGCCCCGGTGTGGTTCAAGACCACATGCTAGGGCCCACAACAGAACCTAGCCAATCAGCAATCTAATCTTATTTACTGCTACAAATTGAGGAACGAAAATAACAACTTTGATTTTGAATGATAAAACTGTCGTGATAGCAATCCTGAAATTTTGGGATTCAATTTAGAGTTCCTGATTAATAGGCGGAATTCCTTACGCTTTTATAATTAATTCATACACTGGATGTTTGTTGCACTTCTAAATTCACCAATACGGTGTCTTGAGTCATCTGTTTTCCAAAATTCAATCGGTAATGCCCTAATTCCTTCTTATACTCGGTGCATTTCTCAATAAAACATTTCAATAACTTCCAGGTCGATGCTATTAGCTCCTTTTCTGTGGTTACCAAATTGTAGTTAATGGTTACATTACTACATAGATGTCTAAAAAGCCTCTTGAGCGTTTATTGTCTTTTTCACCTCTCGTAAGTGAACATGTACTCCTCCTCAGACCTGTCCTATGCTAAGCATATGACCAGAACTGCTTGCAAATAGAAGTTTGTCAATTGCCCGAAAATGTCAACAAATACATAATATTTGAAAAGTACCCAAATACGAGACATTTTCATCCAGATAAAATGTGCACATTTTGGTGATTATGACTACAATATTAATAAATACTCAACACTCTCATTAAGACTGGCCATAATCTTAAAAGTTTATAAAAAAGTTCTTAATCTTAAAATTTTTCGCAATTTTTTTGATAACATTAGCAAATTTAGCACGGTTGATTCCCTCAGATAACCCCTATCTTAGGTCAAGTAAAGGCATTGTTGCACTTTATTCATGAAAGTTTTCAACGGGTATTCACAAACCTAACCTTCGTGAAAAAATAAACTGAAACAAATTATATACTAGTGAACCAAGGCATATCAGTTAATATTAGTATAGAGGCCAAAGTAAAAGAAGTCAATATTTTTTTTCGCTTGCAAAGCTGGCTAATATGACAATATGTGTGCTCACCTGACCACAAGAATTCCCTCATATGTGCTTCATGTGATTTAAACTATAACAAGCACGCTTTATTTTTCAGAAAAAAATTAAATAAGAAATTATTAAAAAGATATGGCATATTGATGGCTAAAGCTATCACAGCCAGAAGTAAATGCGATTATCTTCAGGTCAAAACTTTGAAGTCCTGTAAGGTGAAAGACTCAAGGAAAAAGCAAAGGCGATGTTCACTTAACACAACATGCTCAATATAAAATTTAGCAACTGAAACTCTCTTCAAATATTGGTTCAGGTCTTAAAATTTTCCAATTCTTTGTGCCTGAAAAGCGGGTGTATCGAAGTTTACTTGCCACCATATTTTATATGGAGTTATTTGTAGTCAACTTTTCTCAAGCGATTTCGATAGTGGCATATTAAAGGTCACATAAGTTGTTATAAAGTCTCCCACTAAGTAGTCACACTTGCCAAACAACAACCTTTTCGTCTACTATGGTTTTATAGGACCCCTTCAAAGTCTTGGATAGTGAAAAAGAACAGAAGTCTTGTGTGTCGCTCACTGGATTATTGGCGTTTTTGATCTACCTATAGATCACCTGGTGTTTTACGCGCCATTCTCGTTTTTGCCGAGCGTACTTCACAAGGATAGGCTTTTGTACTGAAGATTTCCTGCTTTCTCCTGAGAAAGATATGGTGCATACTATCTAATGACATGCCTTTAAAATGTCCCGCATTTTTAAGTCGAAGTATATCCCTGGCGTAAAGTGTGATCCTGCTATTGAAAACCGTGGTCGACACGTCTATCCTAGTCAAGTTTTAAGGGGCGGATGCAATCAGTTTAGTAGGATAAGCCTCGTTGTCTCCCTTGATCAAACCCTGCGCCAAGTTGCTTGCGCTCTTGAACAACAACTTGGAATAAGCTTACAACACTGTCAGTTTTACCTTCAAGATCGTGTACAGGTGCGTTCCCTTAAATATGAGTAATGTTTGTAGCTGAAGGGTGACTGGCCACTTTCTGCCCACTGTGTTCAACTGAATGGACTCGTCCAATTGTTGTTGGAAATAAAGTCAATGCCCACCCACGGATCGCCTAATGGTCTCACGAGACTCAATGTCGTTGATATCCGCCTGCCAAATGGGGATAGCAACGAATTTTTGGAGACCTCTTTTTCAAATACCAAATTAAAGCCGAATGGATCCCCTTCTCACCCCAGCCAGGTACTGTTTGAGGTTGTTTGATGCACTTTCAATGGTTCTGTGATATTTAAACCTACCCTGGCTTAAATATCCCCACAATCTTTATGTGTTCAATAGATTGGTGCTCTGGTGTTGCTTAGTAGCCTAGGTTCTGTCCTCTCACATCTTTTTAACTCAACACAAAGTCATTTTGTTCTTCATACCTTTATTTCTGTCAGGTCACGAATTCAAATTATTTGTCAGCAGGTACTGTGAGGTTACAACTTACGAGCTTATCGTCCTCTTAAATGCCAAGGAAACAAACGTGTACTCCGTCGATCCGTGTACTCATTTTCTTCACTATTATAGCTGTCACAAATACTCGTAATCTTACGTAGTGCATTTGAAGTCTTCTTATGGTCCTCTTTCAAGCCTACCCAAACGTCAGACTGGGGCGCATTTCCAATGGACAAGAGTCATGATCGGAAAATTTATCTAAGGCCTGTTGGTCCCAATTGTGTTATTTAATTGTTCCGTAGTTATCTCTTAAGTTTTTACGCTTTTAGAAAGCATCAGTAACTATTTTCCATAGTTGTCGTCCTTGGGTTAAGTAGGTGCTGAGTATCAATAGATAGTCAGCGATGAGGGGTTAAGACGTCGACGTCATTGCGAGTCTGGTTTACTGTCGTTTACTACTTGCCATTTATTTGACATTAGATTTTCAAACTAGCTGTCACTATGGGGTTTTCGTCGGTGTTTGTTGTCAATTAAAATTTTAAAGGTTCCGTGTATCCGAATAATTCTTCGCCTTTGTGAATGCTAACTTCTTTGCGCCTGTATTTCTGACTCATGGACTCCATAGTGTTAATTTTTGTGTCCGTTATATGTGTAAGGACATAGTTGGTCCCTCTGGTTTATTCATCTCAATTTCTGTTAGCCACACAGCAATAACTATCATTTATTTTCCGCCACTTGCGTCACAATCGTTGAATGTTTTCGCAAACCTCGCCGCACAGCGTCGCAAATGCGTAATGGAGACAACCAAATTTGGCAAAGTGGTATCCTCCCTGTTAGTGAATGCTGTCGTAAGGCCAACGTGTTTCAGCGACAAACCAAGTCCAATACTGAGGTTGTCAGGTCATTCCGACCCTGTCGCGTTAACACCCCGTCTAAACATTCGTCGCGTCTTGACGACTGACTAATCCACCAGCAGCTATTAGCGTCCGCGTCATGCTGCTTAACCACAAGCTAGCCCCTTTTTGGTGCTCTGATTTTTCAAACGCCAAAAATCAGGAAATGCTACCAGTTAATTGTGTATCATGCCAAAAGTGCTTCATTTGATGAATCTCCCGTTTTCTATTCCAGTTTTATGTTTCCCAATTGAACCTAATTGTATGTAATGCAAATTTCTTGTTAATTTTATTTTGTGTGCTTCTACTGTAAATGTCAAATCCCGTTGTGTTGGATATGTCTTCGTCATTAATTGAGACAGCCTAGCAGCGAGTAGGCCTCCAAAGCTGTAACGTTTCTGTCATGTATTCAAGTTAAGTGACATTTGAATCTGCCCCAGTGTGTTGCGTGTTTCCAATGGCGTCCAAAATCCATCAATTTCCAAGGAATCGTGAATAAACCAATCGTGGTTTTGTTTGCCGTTTACAGTTTATTGGTCTGTTTACGATAATATTTCACCGTGGTCTCTTACGTCATAAGCCGTATCAAATGTCTAGATTTGTTTTTATCTTATCTACTGCCTTGAGCTAGGTGTTTTCTGCCTGTGCTTTATTCTCTCTCCAGCTGAGCCATTCGTCTCGTTTTGTTTTTTTTTCTAGTGCATTCCTTTTTGGGCATAATCTACAACTGAATAGCTCCTTCAAGTTGTTTACGTATTTCCTTTTTCTTTCGGTCGAAATTCGTCGCGGGAATCCCACTTGGTGGTTTATTTGCATTCCATGGCACCACGTACTGCATTTACGTCATTTACCGTTCAACCTATCAAAATACAGATATCGGTGTCGCTCTGCGATGCAGTACTTTGCGCTTCAGTCAAAACAAACCTTAAGGAGTCTACTTTGTGTCCAGTGTATTCGGTTTAGCGGCCTTAACTTGGAACCATATACTTGTGTCGGTAGACTATTGGACATTAGTAAATCTTAGTCATGACAACCGATTGGCTTTTCCTTGTTTACTGCGATGTTGCGCCACGTGCGTGTGTGTGTGTGTGTGAACTGACGCTTCACTTGGCCGTTCAAAGGGCTTGGAAATGCCTGGTGCAAATACACGTTCAGCAGTCACAATTGTTTCAAATCTAGGTCTGTTCGCCCTGTGTGTATTGTCTGTATGCGTAAAAGTAGAACACATTTGTACCCATTCATGCTTGCGTAATTAGAAAACAGTCCTAGAAAAGGAGAAAGAAGTCATGGAAAACTGCATCCAGTGAGACTTGTTTCTCGTGTACAGGGCTGGCCTACCTAGTAACGGTCTCTTATCTACTGGACCGTTGCTAGCATCCAAGCCAGCAACGCGATTGTTGTAACTGCTTGCTTTACTCTACTTTCATTGATCTTTGTGATTCAGCTTCAGCGCGCTGTAGCTTATTATGGTTTTATTAATAACCTTCTTATTTCTGAGTGGAAGGTTGTAAAACTTCTAATTTCTCAAAATGTATTACCAGTAATTATCTGCACTTTCCTTTTCAAGCAACATCTTCCCTTCATTACCATCTACATTTAAAGTGTTCGAAAATCGAGCTTGATGTTTCGCTCTGTACAGTTTATTGGTCTGTATACCGTTATCCAGCTCGTGATACATTTAATGACTGAATTCAACTAAAATTCAGAATTGAGCCACCATTTACACGAACTCGGCCGCTAGAACTCACCAGCTTAGAAACGACACGAAATCAGACGCTGTTCTATGGTTTATTCATTGTGCTATGTTTGTAAAAAGTGCTTTTTCAGTCAGCAGTATGATTCCTCATTTCAGGTTGCTAGCATTTCTTTTCTTAATAATTGCATTCCTTTCACATTTTTAGTCACTCCGTTTGAACCCAGCTCCCCTGGCATCCTCTGGAGCTAACGGTATTGAGTCAAACACAAACACCACCAGCTGCGACGCCCCTAGCAATATGAGCACTCTGCCTACAAGCCAAGAATCAATGTATGTCTCCCCTAGCGCCGTCTTCGAAGCCTTCTCCATTGCAAGTCGTGCCGTGTCGGCAGGGGAACGTGTTGTGGCCTCCAATCCTGTTCAGACTCCCATCGCTTCCTCTCTTGAGCAATTCCCTTCTGGTAATTATTCCACCTCTCGGGGCACTAGCACTCCCTACCCGTCTACTACCGGCAGCTACCACAATGCCCAGTATGGATCCAATTACTCTATGATGATGGAACGTCTCGCGGGTGGCAGTGAACTCACCTGTGGAACCGGAGGGAAGTGGACAGTCGATAAGCATTATCGGCGACTGATGGAGATGAATAATATTCCCCGTGATCCCGGCAAGTGGAACGCCACACAAGTAAGTCACTGGCTCCGAGCAATTTTATGGCAAGTTAGTTTGCCTTGTAGTGATTACGGAGTTGTAAGCATTGGCATGCCTCGATGAATTTCCGACTTCATTTGCAGCAGAAATCTGTTAACTCATAACCATGACCCGTATATGAGTAAACGTTAAAACCCGGTGATCATCAGGCAGCAGGCGTAGAATATGCACGCTTTTGATTCAATTAATCGTTGACAGTAAAATTTGTCCTTTATAAATTTAGGTTGTAATGTGGATCAACTGGGCCTCAAAGCAGTTCCACCTTGTCGAGAGTACCTCCGGAGCTTCAAACGGCAGCGGCGGTGGTGGTGGAAAGCTAGCAAAAGCCTTCGAAGATCTCCGGGGTGAAGACCTCCTTGCACTCTCTCTTAGTGATGTGGGTGCCCGTTTCGCATTCTCCGGCTCCAATATAACCCCGACTCTACCTTTCTTCGTTCATTTCGAGCTCCTTAAAAGCTGTCGGGAAGTCTGTACGTATTTAAACTCTCTTAATGCGGGCTGATCTCCCATCCACTTTTATCTCCATCTCGTAAACGTCGCAGTAATCTCATTTTGGGTCTGTATCTTCATTTCATTCGTCTCCTTTGCTTGTTATTTTTCCCCCTAGTGTAGTTATTTTCTAGGCACCACGTGCGATTTTTCACCAACTGCCATGTTTTCTTTATTCGACTACCCGAATTGTCCCCTACCATTCTTCCGAGTTTGCATTGTGTGTGGTGTGCCACAAATGCACTTTCAAATTGTTCCAAGACTCACACTACCTAAACTTTGTCGGCGTCTTGAGTCAGGCTTATTCAATTTTCATGAAGAAGACTTCCACTAGCCGATATTTTCATTTACAAAGAGTCTCAGCATTAGCCAACTCCTGTCGACCGTCTAAGTGCTGCGAAAGTAGTCCGGTCTGAGTTAGACTCCCTGCTCTAGCACTGTGCTTTTCTCATTTGGACCATTTGACTTCTGCAAAAAGTGCATAAATTATTAGTTTTTTGGCGACTGTGGATAGGTTTTTTGTTGTCTAACTAATTATGCAAGAAAAGGCGCCCCAGCCATCACTGACGCTCTTCAATTTGGGGCAATTTACTGAATTGTGCTGCTGTTATGCACTTGCCCGATTTACTGGTGTTTATGTTGGAACCGGACTCTTTTTGGCGCTTTAACGCTGCATGTCTTGTTGATCTCCAGCGGGTTGATGCACCATCAGCCTTCACGTTGACTCACCGGGATCACGTAATCAACGAAGCAGACGATAATTCCTCCTTAGTCGTAGAAACGGTGTGAGCTAATTTTCGGTACATTGCCTTTGTTCTCTAGCGAGAACCGCTTTGACGTTGGAATGCCTTGCTCACATTCTCAAGTATGCAGCGAATGGTCTCTTCAGACCTGGCTATTCTGACAACAATGTTACCTTCGTTTTTCACGGAAATACCAAACACCTGACCTTAGACATTATCATTTATCGAACTAATTATCTCAATAAAATTCGCGATGCACAATTATCTAAAGCTGATGATCACTGTTTTTTCCTTTTCTGTTTATGTCGGTGTAGCTTCTTAGAAATTGACAAAAACTTGCATTGGCTGACGTCTGATGTTGCGTCAGGGGGACCACTCAGGTTATCATACTTCTTTCTGGTGCTTTATCAACCAAAATCGTATCAAAGCTTCAAAAACAAGATTTGTAATAGTAAACAGCTCGTTCTAGCTATTGACCTCACTCCTCGCTTTGGTAGTGGAAATTTGGTTTTCCACATGTTACGTGACCATTCCTATCCCGGTCGTTATTTGACTGTAGCCAGTGCGTTACCCCAACGCTGCTGTGTTACAGGAGGGCTGCTTTGTGTACCTCCCTGTAGTCTCGTGACCACGTCGGCGAGCCAGAGGTTTAGTCTGCAATACATTGCTGAAAAAACGAGCGCTCTGGCACCTGATCACGTGGTCTCAATTACGACTCAAGAGTTTCGGTAGACTGATTGCGGAATCTCGACAGCACACCAGCATGCTGTAATGCTAATTCACAGTTATTGTCTCAAGTAATGCGCTTTCTTCAACTTTGCCGGTAGTCTCACTTTGCCTGGCGTTTGTTTGCCAACCTACGACGATGCATGCGTCTCCACTAATCTGTCGACACGAGCCAAGCGCATTTTTTGCTTAAACCCTACTCCCCTGGCATCAAATGTATACGTCCTCGTCCTGTTGATGTCATCCCCAATTAACTGCTCTCTGTTTGCGTCATATGTCTTGCTGACCTGACGTTAGTGCGCTCATTTCTGCCGATGTATCAGAGCTTATTGGTTAGCGTACTTTTCGTTTTGCCTAGAACATAATCAGCAAGTTCCTTTTGTTGTGTCTTCAGGCGTTCCGTACAAGCCACAGCCCCAGTCCTACGCGGTGGCGCAGAACTCCCAACGGGTGTATCGGCAAATGGGTCGATCTCGCGTTCGAAACTCCCGCAACGGCTCCGACTATGGCCTGGCATCCGCCACCGGTGTTATCGGTCGATTTTCAGGAGCATCCAGTACGCAAGCACTCTTTCATCATCGCTTATGTTGATTTATAAAAAGTGAAATTAATGTGACCTTCGAAAGTATGCAGATTGACTTTCAACTGCCACACCAAATGTTAAGCAAGTGCTTACTAGAAGTAAGGCATCTGCAAAATGTTTAATTCAGAGCTATTTTGTCTTGCCGAAACATTGCAGCTTCAGGGCAACGCGTAGGTTGGTGCGATTTGCCCGTCTGACATCATTCTAGAATCCTTCGTGGTAAATTTCGCTTACTTTCGTACCATAAGTAACTGTCGCGTTTCAGCTTACGGCACTGTTGGAATGAACGGCGCTGTTTTCTCTCCCTCTCTGCCCCTAACAAGCAATCTCCGCTTAAATGGAGGTGGCTTTCAGCCACGCATAAGCCAGGCATCTGCTTCAACGTCGTCGTCGTCGTCGTCGCAGCAATATCTCACTGGGGCCTCCTCTTCCACTTACTCTTTTCCCTACACCCCAAAAACGATTCCCCCTAAGGACGTTTTCTATGGCAACAGCGATGCCTCCTTTCAACCGGTGGAACGCATTTACCCTTCAGTAACTGGCGGCAACTCTGGTGGGAAGTACCGTGTGGTTTCCGCACTTTCGCCGCCGTATAACCACGATCCAGGATCGTCAACTGTATGTCTGAAATATCCCGTTTACTGAACTCATGTGTGTCGTCTTGGCTCACTAGAGGCCTGACCAGACACCCATGCTGCGTAGATTTGTGTTACTTGCTAGCCGGTGTCGTTTTGCTATGTTCGACTGGTCTGCCTGAAGCCACACAATTAAATTCGTTTTGCTAATGACCCTAAGCAAATACGGTTACTGATAAAACTGATTTCCACGAAGACCGGCCAATGTACGCTGATAACGTAGCCACTCGTCTTCTAGTCACTCATGTTACAATATTTTTATTAAAACAAGTTAACCGCCCCACACATTCGTTCGGTAAGATCTGGCCGGCTTTATTAGCAATGAACAGGAAAGTGGGGCTGGAAAGAAATGTGTTGGCACTTCAATATGCTGTATCGGATAGTTGCCACCAAAGTGTTAGGTCATTAAAGCCTTTTCGATTATGATTCGGTGGCGTGTTACCGCTGAAGTCGTTTAATTATCATAAGTAAGAGTTCTGAATGGATGCATCTGATATTTTGTAAGAGCGCTTGCAAACGGCAACTTGGATTAACAAACTCGCGTTTTTTTTATCATAAACTCTTCTCATCGTCCAAATTCTATGCCATGTTTTGACCAGGAGTAGCGGTCACTATTGATGCTTTTCTCTCGTCATATTTTCCTTAGATACCCATGCAGTCACCAGCTGCTCTAACGGTCATGGGTCTGAATCCCGCATCTGTCGCTGACACTGGCAACAACAACGCTGCTCTTGCTGCTGCCGCCGCGGCCGCTGCTGGTTGCCAGGTCCAGCTCTGGCAGTTCCTTTTGGACCTCCTCACCGACTGGCGTCACCGGGAGGCCATCCATTGGGTGTCGGAGGACGGCGAATTCAAGCTGTCTAACCCCGAACAGGTTGCCTCTATGTGGGGCCAGCGCAAAAACAAGCCCGCAATGAACTACGAGAAGTTGTCTCGTGCTTTGCGCTACTATTACGATGGCGACATGATCTCTAAGGTGCATGGGAAGCGCTTCGTTTACAAGTTTATTTGTGACCTCAAAACCCTCCTCGGATTCTCCGCTGGTGAACTCCACGCTCTCGTGAGAAGGTGTGTGGAGAAACATGCCGCGGATGGCGGAGGCGGGCGAAACGGAACGCGAAAGCGACCCTTTGATGTGGATGTGGAAGGAGGAAGCTGGTTCGGTCAAGGCCTTTCCTCGCCCCCTCCATCGAGGTTCCGGTTAATATCTTCAATACCGGCGATTCTCGACAACGCAGAATCTAATTCTACGTCTCCCGAAGTCGATCTGAGTCCCCACTTTTCAAAGGAGGAGGAAGATGACGACGGCGATGACGATGACGACGTGTCATTCGAATATTCTTCCGGGGCTGTTGACGGCGAAGAAATTGAGAAGGCCGCAGCTGCCCTCCTCCTTGAAGTCGCAGACTGCGATATTGTGGCGAATAGGGATGGGAACTTAACTTCTCCTTTATAGCCATAATCCCCAATCGTATAACCCCTTTCTGAATCGCCAATTGTGTTTGTGTGAGTGTATATACCCCCAACCTGCACACCACGGTTGCCGCAGGTATTATCGTGCTATCACTTGCCCCTCCACGAATCCAGTTTTGTACTTATTGGCAATGTCGGCTCGTGTTGGTCCCGATTCTTTTGTGAAATAACAGCTACCCCAATGCGTTTCCTTTCTTTTTTTAGAGAAATGCATTTTGTTCTTCCAGATTTCCTCGTTATTTTGAATTATCTTTTAATTAAAAATACGGGGGTTCCTTTTTCTTGCTTTTTGTCCTCCTACACCGACAGCTATTGGGCAGTTTCGAGTGCTTGCAAAATTGATGCAGCAATAAGGGAGTGTATGAAGGCGAAATTTGGGCCAGAATGGGCTTACAGGGGTCGGTCCGTGTGCTGTAAAGGCGGTTGAGCGTAACACAACTAACCTCCCCAACCGACAGTCAGGCGTTAAAAAGTTTGGACTTAGATTGACAATGAAGTATGTGGGGAAGTTGAAATGAAAACCATACTTTGGGACTGTGGTTTGAGGAGTTTTAAGCGCCCTGGGGCTGAGAACGCGCGGTTTCAACAGACCAGGATCCGATCTAATTGCTTTGTCCGAGATTGAGGAACGAGATCATGAAGGAAAGAAGATAAGCGATTAATTAGCGTTGCTAAACGTGCCATTTCGAAGTAGTTTGTGTCAGAAGGTCCTGACTTCTGCTAAATCTTTCGCAAATAAGTGGCATCAGCAGATAAAGAGGTATTTCTGTTCCAAGAGAATATTGTGTTGTGAGGCGAACTTCTGTTTCAAGGCTGAGAAGGAAGGCTCCCGCGTCATGCCAAAAGTGGATTTTTCGCAAGAAAGCGCAAACGCCACTATGAAAGTGTATCACTAGGCGACTGCAACTAGACTAGGAATCCACGGCCGCAATTTTGGCTTGCAGATCAGTTCAAGCTCACGGAGTGAAAAACATTGACGTGATTTGCGAAAATCTCACATTCGCAACATGTGTGGTTAATCTATGGGTGGATAACTGCAGAAAAGATTTTTTTACTCAATTTTAAATCCTCTATCTGGTATCGTTTTGATAGCCACCACCGACAAGACTGCCGAAGTTTGCAGTGCCAGTGTTTCTGAAAGAAGGCATTCGTTTTGGTTCGGTACAAACTTTGTCATTAAATAATTATGTTTTTTGTCTCTCACAGCTGTCGTGTTTGATTGATGACCTGTCCGATTGAGTGAGGCGTAGGGACAGCGGTTTTCGGCAATGGCTCGTCCCCGAAATAAGCCACGAGACAACCTCTTCGCCAGGCGTTTAATAATCAATGATGATGGGGCTAGTAGTGGCTTGGACTGAAGGCATCTCTTGGCTGAAAATATCCCTAGGACGTCGTGGAATAGAACTCTCTCTGAAGGCCAATTATACGCGCGCTGGCTCAAGCTTGAAAAACCGCCACTGTTAACACCCTCACTCGCCTTACTGAGGTTTACTTCGTGACGTCAGATAGAGCCATTTCAATCAGAATGCATCTATGCAGTTGTTCTTTGAACGTCGAAACAAATTTCCGTGCTTCCCGCGTCAGTAATTGGAAGTGTTGAATAATCGAGCCAATAGCAAGGTAAACTGTGCGAGCAATGATTGCTCCCTGTACTGCGGAGCTGCTGATGCGTGAGTTAATTGACACCTCAGTCAGAGGTGCTCAAATTCCACGTCTGTCCCTACTTCGTTTTGACGTTTGCTGAGAAAGCAAGAAGGGGACCACTGTAATTTATGTGATAAATTTCGATCTCGAATCCGTTTTAACCCACTTTTCACACTGTAACAGTGAAACAAATACCAAAATTCGCTTATGGCTTGTTTGTTAATGTGACTAATCCTTTTTCAGGGTACCCTTTGCCTTATTTTAGTAATAAAGCACTATTAAGTGATCGCGATCTCTTGGGCTCGACTTTCATGGGTGGCAGGAACATGCACTTTTGATTGTGCTCGCATTTCCTTCATAATCACGTTATCAGTAGGCCGTTAACTAAACACTTCATAAGTCAACTTACCCGTAAAAAATTCAAAAAAAAACAATTTGTTAGCGTTGTCAATATGCAAAATGGAACATGAGGATTACAGTTTCGTTGTGTTAGGCTAAATGAGTTCAAAAAGGCGCGAGTGTTGGAACTGCAATAAAACCGTTTTAGGCGTGTTCCTGTTATTGGGATGGATGGTTTAGTCAAATTAACTAATAGCTTAGAACTAATTTATATGATGTCAAGATTCAGCCTTTGCTGTATTACGCGCTCTCTATAGAAATCTTTTCTTATGGAATGTGGTGTTCTGCACGTATTGAACAGTGCTTTGACAGCCACCTCTCTGCCCGCCGACGAAACGAACCTTCCATGGACTAAGTCATGCGGGGCCACGTATTCTGCGCTTCCTTCAAGTGGCCGAACAATTGGTGTAGAGAAGTACTTTAGGCAATGTACTCAAATAACTGTTGAAATTTAAGCAAAGTGTTCGCATTCGGTCAATTGGAAAAGCATCACCTTTCACCATGACAACGCTTGAGCACGCGTCGCTCTGAGAAGTAATTTGAATGGCAGGAAATGTAAATCTGTCTGAAAACAAAAAGTACATCTTCCAACTTTCTCTGAGAAAAAAAACCACGCAGTTGCTGCAAAGAGGGCATCCGGGAGCTTGTAAAGCGTTGGGATTCGGTCATGGGAAATAATGGAGTGTCCACTATTGATTAATAAAGGCAATTTTCCAAGAAAACGTGCTGCGTTCACTTTGATTCCTAATTGGGGACGGAATTTCTAATCACCCACTATTTAGATAGCTTATTGGTTTTCAGTTAAGTATAACTTTCTTCACACAATTTAATTACCAAACCATCTAAAATATTGTTATTTAGGCAGCAATGCTGAAAGTATACATATTGACACCCAGCAGTTAAAAAACAATTAAGATTATTCCTTTCGACACTTTAACCCAGAACTCTTTACATTTTTATAAGTCCTTGATTCTATTGCCTTGACAAGCGCGCCAATGTCGATTACGTGAAAACTAAAATGCAGCCAGGAAACTCAAACCTTCGATAAAACAAGGAAGCTTCGTGCATGTTGCTCTAAACGATAAACATCATCTAATACCGCGTACATTGCAATAAATGATGTCAGGAAAGTAGTTTAATGGTGTTGTAACGTCCCTGCCGAGCGGGGGTCTAGAAGGGCAGCTGCTGTCAGATCGACAGTCAAGGATAATTGCACAATCACGAATGACTGTCGGCCGCAGACACGAGAGTGTGAATGTCGGGCGACTTGCATATTTCATGCTACTGAATGCAGAGCAATGGGGCATGGGAGTACGGAGATGATTAGTTATGACTAGGGAAGTGGATGGATTGGAGGTCCGTAGGTGGAGGTGGTGGATCACGTGCGCACCGTGTCCTGGCGCCGACGCATAGTCCGGAAATTCGATAGAAGGAAGGCGCGATGGCAGGTGAATGCGAGGAGACAAAGGGCAAATAGGGATGGCTTTGTTGCCGGATTGGCGCAAGCCAAAATTAGGAAGTTCGAAAGTGGCGCTCAGCTGGAGAACTATGGATAGATCAGAATAGCAAGAAAATGTTACACCTTTGAAGCATGAACGAAGCAAATCTCGTCTGGACAACGACATCAACTAGCACTTATTCGTCAGGAAGTTGGAAAAATTCGCACAGCGCCAGGATCTTAAGTGTTCCTCGGGCAAATTGGGACCAATTCCTCCACTTTTTAAGGAAAGCACTCACACCAACATAATTAATAATTAGGCCAACTGGCATAATCAGCAAACGTATTAGGCTGAAGACGATACCATCGCTGATTCGGATATTTTCTTAATTTTCGGAATTCGGACAAATGCCCCATCTGTTTTCCCTAGCCCTATTAATTCTCAGACTGCACGGAAGCAAGCTTTTTTGAATCTGCACTAAAATCAGCTTCGGTTTGAAATATGAAGGTAGGTGAATTTAGCAGAGGAAATTATTTCAAATATGCTAATTTACCTGCCACACGACTTTACGCTCGACTGATCGTCAATGTATCCTCTAAAGCGTGAAAATGAACTTATTTGCACAGATGAGTGTTTATTCGGTGTTAGATATATCCCGTTCCATCAAACCGGTGAATAAATTCTTAATCAAAATGATGGGTTTATGCACAAGATGTGATAATCATGCATAAGTGCCCTTTCAATCTCCAAATCAAGCAGCCTGTGCCTGATTTTTGCCACATTGGAGTAAAACCCACTAAACGGTAAAAGATGCATTTGAGTTAACCAAAGGCCCAAGAGAGTTTGTACATTTAATACCCCAATGTTCTTTCCTGGAATTTCTGCAAGATCCACCTGGTCTGTGATTTGCGTAGGCTCAAAAGCACCTTCGACTCTGAAAAGGTGATTGTTGTAGTCGAATCTCAGTTGCTTTTTTGCAGTTGGAAATAGTTGATACAACGCGACCGTGGACAATTATCAGGTATCGTGGAGTGGGATTAGATTCCGAGTTCCAACTGACGGATGGACAGCTTCCTGGTGAAATGGTGGAGATAAAATGGATGCTGATGCTTGGGATAATGACTTGTCTTGGAGATGCTTTCTGACCTAAACGTAGACGCATTTAAATGGCTGCCTTTGCTATTCACTCTGTGGACAGTTTCTTGAGAAAACGTGACACAGGCATGTCTAAATGACGACATTTAAATCGGTCAATTAGCGAAAGGGTAGTAAAAGTGAAGGGACCTTTTGAATGCTCCCTGCCGGCTGTGCTTTGATGTCATTCAAAATTGCAACCAGCAGATAAACTATCATCGAGTCCTTTATTAACAGTTTGAGGTTTACTCATTGAAACGTCGAAGACTGATGCAGTTGCCAATGTCCAAATTAAATTTGTCAAGTGTTGTGAAGATCATTGCCCATCGTTTGTATTGGCTAGCCTCTCTGTGGCTTCAACAACCAGTGGTTTTTGTGATGCGTTTGCACAAAAAGAAAAGACTGAAAGGTTGTATTTGGATGGAAGGAATCCTCGCCTGCCGCGCAGCGTCGGTGGTGGGCTGGTGCCAGTGGCACGTGGCGCTGTCTGAATAATTCACCATCATAGCTTCTTATTACTCTTGGCTGGCTTGACTGCAGCACAACAAAAGAGCCCGGGAGAAAAACGAATGTCATGCATTTTTAACACAAAAATCTCATCTTTTCTGTTGGCGGTCGTACTTTCGGAGGCGAATTACCAACATACCCGATTAATGGTTTAGGGCCCTTTGTCGTTCCACTGATTGGCCAATGAGTATGACAGCGAGCCGGGGCCGATGTAAAATGATTATTCCCGTGTTTTTGATGCTAGTTTTGAGCTTTTTATTGGATGTTTTATATTTTTGGCCGAATTCTGTGCAAACACAACCAGATCACAACTAGTTAACTCTCGACGTGTTTAAATTATCAAGTTTGAGTTATTTAACACATCTATTCCGGGTTCTTACTCCACGTTACTTTAAAGTTGCTCTAATTTTCATAAGTAATATGAACAGAGCTGAGCGACCCTCGCTGAGTTTGTGAGGCCAATTTACGGTCGGTAAAATGACAATCACAGAATAGTGATTGCCTGGCCTGGGACTTTCAAAGATCAAATGAAAATATTGATGTAGCTTTTCTTGTGATTGAGTCAGCGTTTGTGGCGCGTACATACCAGGGCTTGAAGTACGAAACAATACCTTGGTATAATCGAATTTTTGGATGAATGTAGTTAAGAAAAATCACAAAATTGTTTATAAAAGTGCTTCGAACTGACTGAGGGGGTGCTCTCTTTGGGGATATTTGTCAATCCTTGATGTATTGTTGACCACAATTGTCTCACACAAACCACAAACGAATCCCGATACTCGAGTTGGTGAAGCACTGACGGTTCTAAAACCTCTCAAATCATGGTAGTGGCATCCGGAATTTATCACCTGGGGCTAGGCTAAAAGTCAAACAATGCCGAAAACTCTACCAGGTCTATAGACGATGAATGGTGGGCTTGTTTAGTCCATGTGAGTCAAATTCTCGGCATCACCTTAAAGTTGAGCTTCCCTGCGAATTTAAACTTGGTGAGAATTCGGTTCGTGCCACATTCCACAAGCTTCACACTTAAAAATTACTTATAACAAGTTTGTCGTGTTTTCTCAAAAACACGGGCATGTGGTTAAGTAACATTACACGCAACTTTTCACCGTGTTCTTAATATTCCGAGTGTTTCAAAAGTTTTAATAGAAAGGATGTTGTTTTGAATCCGCATTAGGCCCCTGTTCATCGATAAGTACCTGAAAGATGCCTTGTAAAAAATGCTCAGCGTCAGAGAGCAAGCGCGAGCCAATACCGTCGCTGCACGCGTATACTCAACTAGGCGAGCCAATTAGAGTCACGTGCGGCAATGCGCACTTGACTATCAACGAGTATTGGACTTCTCAGGGCATATTGTGACCGGATAGATTATCTCGGTGCAAATGGCCAGCTATCATTCTCTGGCTCCATCTGAGAGCGGGACGACAATGAAATATGAACCAGGGCTGCGTGGAGACATGAACAGGGAGTTGCTGTCGCAGCCGCCGCCTCACGCCTTTCTCTCAATTATGGGCTTCTCCAATCTATGTCACAATTCATCGCCGCTACCACCACATCCACAGGCACATGCCCTTCCTCCTTCTAGCCCGCAGACAAACTTCCCCATTTCGCTTCCGCCTCCTCCTCCTCCTCCTCCTACTACAAATAGAACTTCAGGTGAGTCGAATTCCAAAAATACTCACATTCCATTCCATCGATAACAAAAATAGGCTCTGAATTCGCAGGTCAGCTGCTGTAGTTAGCCTATACGACTGGGTAATGAGGTGAAGGCAAATGCTCAGTCAAATTCGAGAGCTCAGATCAAAAGGCATTAGTATGAAGGGGAACGCAACTATATTCTCCAATCAAATTTACACTTTGTTTAGTTTCAAACACGACGACATTTCATAGTCCTTATTACAGATGTGTTTCTGTCTGGAATACTTATTTGTGAATCACTTGACGCACTGACAGGCGCTAACAAGGTTGGAGGAAATAGCTGTAAGTGCGGAAATAAAGCATATGGATTGGCCACTATTTTACCCACAGATTGCTAAGTTCATGCATCGATTTCTTCACAAATAGTCAAATAGACCGAATAGAAAAGTTCAGCGCGGTGAAAGAACGCCGACACATGGAAAACCTGTGGATAACGTACTAAGGTATTGGATGACATTAGTTAATATGTGAAGGGGTGCAGAAATAATGTCAAGATGGAAGTCGAGTTTCTTGGGACAAAACTTTGCCAACTGGGCGTACCACACCAAAGGGCATTGCTTTTTCTGTAAAAAAGTGACGCCTAAGTTTGGCAACGTGGCCCCACAACCAGATCAGTGCAGTCGTCCCTGTTTTCGTTGCTTTTGCCCACGACAGATTGTCGCGTGTGGACCGCATGAAGAACTATAACAAAAGGATAACACTGACCTGTTTTTTTAACGAATTATATGCAAACTCTTTCTTAAATTTGTGCCTCGAAGAAGTCAATAATTTTTTATGATATTTCTAACCAACCGTAACGAATCGCAATTTCTTAGCTTCGTGATGTATTCTCATAGACCCCTAACGTGTATTCGGGAACAGCAGCTTCTGACTTCGCAAATATTTTGATACAGATGCGCAAGTGCTAACTGCAGCGCCAAATTCAGGCAAAATTGACGGGCTTTGCTAGTGCTAAATTTGCATACAAGCCTAACGGTATGGCTAACTGGCGTTTCTAAAGTCCCTTTGGCTACAAAATTCATGGACCTGATATTTAAAAGACAAGTCTGGTTCTTGACACCGTGCCCATATTCTCGAAGACGTGGATTCAAGGAACAGCGACAAGGAGCGAAGAGGTTGACACGCCAGTAGCAGGAAAAATCCATCGTTCTCACACATTCGTTTGTTCTTAGTAGTAGGCATTTTAGGTGAATATTAATTGGCTTCAGCGATTGGAGTCATATTTTGACACTGTTTTGTGGCCAGAGAATAGCATTTGAAGTTTCCATGTCCTTTACTAGAAAAAAAATGACTTCTAACAGTTTGACTTTCTGCTTTGGTCAAAATGAAACTGACTCCACCTCTAAAACGCTGTCACACTTGGTGAGGCGTCAGATCGAAGATACCACGTTTTTGTCTTATCAATGTTGCCAAACCTAACAAAGTCCGAACTGATAAAAACCCGCATTTCATGCTTTTGTGAGCGTTTCACGAAAGCTGACATTGTAGACGCTGGGTGTGATAAATAAAGGAAATGCTGCGACCTGATTGAGATTTCGGTAGCCATGTCTTTAATTTCTTACCTGCCGAAATCACCACAAAAATGTGCTACGTTGCTATGCTTTCAGTTTTTTCTCAAAATAATACTAGTTAAGATGCTTTGAAGCACTCTTTCCTTATGCCATCTCTCTCGGTCTTATTAAAGCGCCCTGTAGGATCAGTCTGAATCCAGAATGGTACCTAAGTTAACGCTGGACAGGGGTCATTGGAAGGTGTCCGAATTGCCACTTTCCATTTTGTTTGTGGGGTGAGGTCCTTTTTTCTTGAACAACATGAAGTATTTGACCCAACCCTAGATTTCCGATTCCGCGGTCATGATTGGGAGAACAAACAAGATTCCACCTATCATTGCACAAATTTCTGCATTAGTCAAACTTATGATATACCTTGCCTTCCAGTGTAATTTTGAATTCATAACAATCCTGGGTGATGCCAAATAGGTTACCATAGTTTAGTCCAGTTAGAATGCTACGCTGATTGTGGGTTCGTTTCCAGTGTGTCCTTCGATATTGGGCATGGTCTGTAGGCTTGACTGCTACTAGATACAAGCAGTCCTTAATTTTTCAAGATTCGTGTGTTAAAACTATTTTCAGTGCTTTTGTTCGAAGCTGAATCGGTATTACCACTGTGCCCGGTCACATGCATGGAGTAACCAGTGTGGACACCACGCGTTTATCGATTGTCCGAATAATTGCATGAGTCTGTTCAACTACAGCTGTGATTTTTTTATCACTACCTTTTCCATTTTAACCTGATTAACCGCCGGGCAAACCACGTGGCAGGACCTCCGCACGAGCGTTTCCAGGCCTACACGCCTCATCATCGCCCCCCTTCCCCCCGTTTAAGAGACCTGTTGTACGTGAAAGTGGTATGTGTGGGGGTGGGAGAGATGGAGGGAGGTGACGGTAGGGCTAATCGAGTTAAGTGGCACTCTTCGACGTCAGTGTCGAAGGGAGGGGGCAGACGGAAGTCCAGAACAATTTTCCAAAGTGAGTTTGTTTGAATGCGGCTGAAGGGCAAACCGCGCTCAAGACAATTAATTTTAGAGATGGACTTCATCGATGGGGAGAATAAACCTAACGATTTACACTCTCCTCGACGGTCTGCAGAACGATTGAATTTGTCCAAATTTTGTATAAATTACAATGTTATTGGGGGGAATAAAAATGCTTGTCTCTGATCTGACGGCCGCTAGATTTGCCTTTTAATCAGCAATGATAATACTTAATTCCATAGATGTCGTGCTGCAATACTAGCTTACGTCCTAATCTCAGCCATAACAACCGTTACCCACTCCATACTGATACTTTTAGTCAACAGAGCACTCCCATGGCTGTGATTCTTCGAATGCCAAGGGATTTTAATCATGAGACAAAACTAATGGCTATGCGAAAATCCTTTTGTTTGCCGGTTAGGATGCAAGGTGACACCTTTTGGTGCTCACCTCTGCCCTCTCGGTTGAACATTCGATCCAGTTGGAGCACATAAAACATCAAGCGAATTCTCTTTACCAACTGTATTGTGCGATCAATTCTTTAGCCCCGATTTGCAGTCGTTGCTGTGAGCAGGTGCACGAGAAGACTCTCCTCCTGGTTTTGGATCAATACTGGCACGCAAAGTGTCTCTACTGCCCCGACTGCGGAGTCTCCTTGATTAGCAAGTGTTTTTACCGTGATGGGGAAGTCTACTGTCGTGAGGACTTTTTCAGGTAGGCACTAATTTTTATTCAGAAATACCTTTTTTGTAAAAACTTCATTTGGTTCCGCTGAGTCAAAAGCTGCTTAACTGGAATCTATTAGTTAATCCCTACCAGCGGTGGCGTCACAAGCCTTATTGCATTTCCATCAAACGCTAAAGTGTCCCGTAGCTAAAAATGGATTAACTAGATGAACTTGGTGGAAGCTGTTTGATGCACTAGGGATAGATTGAAACACGCAAACACAACTATCTTTGCTGCCAAAAAAAATAAAAAAAACGGTGTGCATAAAAGAGGCAAGTTGAAATCCGAGCTTCATAAAGACAACTACCTGGAAAGAAAAAAGCCTTCATCTAGTTTCCCACCCGGCTATCAATACAGTTCTATGAGAGCATCTGGCCTCTCAGCATCGTGTTGCACAGATTAGTCGTGGTGTGTGTTGGGGGCTCTTATTGCAAAATGCAAAGACTAAAAGCCACGACACGATTTCGTTTGAGGAAACATGGGTTTTAACCCAATTACTTCCTAATCATTTACTAGTTGCAATAATAGTTTCCATGAAGCTGAAAATTCTCTACTCACAGACTCCCAAACGTCTTCAACCTGATAGACATTTCAGCCACGCTTAACTCCTGGAAATTTTGATAAGTCTTAAAGCGTGTGTGTGTGGTGCAGCTGTGAGTGAGAAATACTGTGACATGGCCACAAACTTTGGTCACCGCCACTACATCGCCCACCATTTAGGCCTAATTAAATTTCAGTCGTTTTGAGTGTCTGCACATTTTGACTGCCGGCCCCACCCCAAGGGGAAAGGACAAAATTTACTCCACAAATAACCCTCACATTTATGTTTTTGTGCGGGCATTAAGGGGATGGGTGGGGGGGCTGGTGTCGGCTGGGGCACGCGTCGGTCGGTTTTAGCCACAAATGAGTTGCTGTGCGACGCCCCTAAGGCGAAGGGGAGATATGGGGCTCTGCACGACCACCTAATTGAGTTTCTCCAGAGTCACTAACTGATTCCCTCATGTTCAACAAAGTACACGCGAAACACGAAGGGGAGGTGTGTCAGCCAATCGTTTTCACGGTTGGCTATTTATCCATCTACTAATCCAGCAGACTAAGAAGGGGTATCTTCGTCTTTTGAAAAAAAAAATACCTTAAAAATGCTGCGCATCTCATGTGACTTAAGAGGTTATTTTGACCCACTTGTTGCAATTGGCCTCGAACTTTTCCCTCGAAATAAAGAATCAGGTTAGACGCTGCGTGGTCAGTGTCAGTTGATGTACTGACAAATGGACATTGCAGTCAGTCCGCTCAAAGCAGTCTACTTACACAATGCATAGGAATCAAGAATAGCATCAACAGTCAACTCTGTGGGTAGGCGAAAGTGCGCACATGATCCCAAACTACGAACCTTCATTTCGATGCGATTGTGTTAGGTGCGATGGGCAAGTGACCGACTCATCCTCAATGACTCGTTGACTCTAAATAGCAGACCTTAACGACACTGATTGTGCCTTTAATTTACTTACGATTCACGTGCTCAAGTAGCACGGTCTCGGGAGAGTAATTGGTGGGCATTACGCAAAACGGTTTTCTTATTAAAATCATGTTGGGTGCAACCCCTTTCGAGTGCCTCGGTGTTTTTTTTAAACTAGGAACAGCTGCAGCAGCCAACTACATGCACAGCAATAACGAAATTTCTGATGTGGAAAACTGCTAATACAAATCTGCCCTTCTCAACTACTTCATCGTTTTAGGACTGTTTGCAATAAAAGCGAAAATTTCAGCTCTCCTTCTTCTGATTAAATTGACAATTCTGCCAAAAGCGGAATCATAGCACAGCTGATCGTTGGCTTAGGAGCCGATCTGCCGGCTGCACACAGACATCGTCGCTAGAGTTTATCGTGCACTGGCACCAGCTTTTGCTAAGTAGTGTGTACTGCAGCTGTCCTGTGATATCCGATCGCTTAATTAAAATTAGCTTGATTGACTTCTGGGAGTAAAGCACTCAATGAATTACTCTCCGTCGAACTGATTAGGCGGCAGGTTTGGACTGCTGGATATTGTTCCGTTGGTGGGGTACAAACCAAAGTCGCATGAAATCGAACTCAATCGGATGGCAATGTTCGAGGTTGATGAACTGCAGTCTTTTATTCTGAGGCGGTTCTTTTGATGTAAATCAAATCCAAATCATGCTACAGATGCTTATGACGAGATTTTTGAAACTCCCATCACACACACACCCCCTTGTGACTCCAAACCCATTACTGTGGTGACACCAGACGGGAAACAGTAATGCTGGACACGGAGTTGGACACCACCATCTGTGCTTAAATTCCCTTCACATTAAACTCGCCGAATTTGCAACTGTCATCACCTGAGCCGCCTGCCTGTCATAACGCGACCCCAAAGGAGCCAAACCAAGAGAGGCCCGCGTCAGCCAAGCTGGTGTGTCCTACACTCGCGACAACACTGACCAAACTTGATGGCGAGATGAGGTGCCAGTGCCCACACAAAATTTCCACTAATGTAACGATGTGACAAATTACAAGGCGTCTTGTGGATTCGGCTGTAGTTTTATTTGACCGAATTGCAGCAAAATTTAAAGACGACAGGTGAAAAAATAGTTGTGGTATATCAGGACATAAGTTATTGCCTTTTTATATTTGAAATTCGTACTTCAATTCTGAAAATCTTCTCATCATTTTAAATTTCGAATTGCGAGTTTGAACCAAATTTCAGTTAGAATGTTTTGCTATGAGTTAAGTCGTTTTCTCGGGTAGGACCACTTTGTCTTTACTTGTATCAGATGCCTTAAAAACCATAAACAAACGAGGGTTTTCCATGGACGCAATCTGGTTAGCGGGATGTTCTTCCATATCGGCGACCCGAACTCAGGGTGGCACGGGTTTTTCACGTCAACCAAGCAGTAATTCAAGTCAACTCACACGTATCGCTCAGTAGGTCGCTTTTATGACTGGTGCATTCAAGACCATCCAAATGCACTACCTCTAATCCAGCCTGGTGTCGGCTTCATCGTGGAGGAGTGAATGCTAGTCCTTCGCTTATGTTAAATTGCAAGTGACCCTCACTAGTAGGGCTTTTGTTGTTTGTAAAACAATCATACGGTAAGTGAGTAGCATAATTTAGTGGGTAATTTTCGTTCGGACAACGAAAAAGGCAAATAATTTATTGGTCGACTGAAGTTTGAATGCAGTAATAGAAAACATGAATCACTTGATTTTGTTCATGACCAGGTGGTGTTAAGTGAGCCTGCTTAAGCTCAGTGAGCATCCGTTTTTGTCGACACGAGGGTTATGGGGTGGTGTGCACTACCACGAGTCCCCATGAGGATAATGGAGTCCACAAGGTGGGGGGTGGACTAAACCGAGGTGGGGGTGAACTCAGCAACCGAGTTGACGACGAACAGCCTCCCTCTAATGACCCTTTCAGACGCAGGACGTTAAGACGGGGGCAATGAACTGGGGTGTGAATTTGCATGTGTATGCGTGATTTATGTGAGAAAATTGGCGCAAACCTGTAGCTAGGGCACTTGAACACGGTGGTAGTGGGAGTTTTTTGGGAACTTATCCGTTGGTTGGAACAGGGTCGTCCCTTAGACATAAAGATGTTTACACGCACCAGTCACACCAAGGCAATCGTGCTAATTGTTGGCTACAAAACGACGTTTCACCGTACAAAAACGCTTTGGTTGCACTGATTTCACATTGTGGAAATCGCTTTTATGACTGTGTAGGTGTGACAAGACAGACGTGCTGTAACTCCAATGTACGGCGGCTTGGCCCATTGTGTCGCCACAAAACGACATCATAAGCATTTAGTTGTGCTGACAAGGATACTTGGTGTCGATTTGTTCAGTTGTGTGCCAGTGTCATGTCTACAAACAATGCCTTTGACGCCCTCATAGTTACCCATTAAGTTGGAATTCAATGATGACTTTTGAAGTCTATTCCTGCCCTAGCAACCATTTTTTATTGGTAGACGTTTTGGGACCAAATGTGCCAGCTGCGAGGAGGGAATTCCACCGAATGAGATGGTGAGGAAGGCGCATAACCACGTCTACCATCTGGAGTGCTTCGTTTGCCACGTCTGTGCGCGATCACTCAACACCGGCGACGAGTTCTACCTCCTGGCAGACCGCCGACTGATGTGCAAAGCTGATTTCACCATGATTAAAACCCAAGGTGTGCCTCAAAATTGTGTGGTTTGTTTGTGGAGCAGTTGAAAGAAAAGCCTCCACCTGAACCTCTAGATTGTACTTGATACCATGTGGGGAATATTTAAATCTGAAATCCCACCTCCACTTATGCTTAGCCGATGGCTGAAAAGTAAAAACCAAGATAAGGCAACTGTGCATATTTTTCCCTCAAAGTATGTAACGGATCTACTGCATGAGGACAGAAATCTGTCGAAATGAAGACAAGGTCCGTAGGAAAGCGTCTATGGAAATGGGAAAAGTACCCAACTTTTACGGAATGGAACTGTTACCACGACTCAGGATTCAGGCTTATATTTTTTTCTCAGCGAGACGCACAAGATGCTTGATGCAATCCGACAAACGAAGTTTTTCATTCTATTTAGAAGCTGATCTGGAAAATGCAAACAAGAGGCCACGGACCACGATAACCGCGAAGCAACTCGAGGCATTGAAGAAAGCCTATGCCGAGGGGGCGAAGCCTTCAAGGCACGTTCGTGAGCAACTCAGCGCCGAAACTGGTCTTGAAATGAGAGTCGTTCAGGTCTGGTTCCAGAACCGAAGGTAAGTGACAACTATACCAACCAGCGTTTTCCTTTTTTAAATTCAAAGTTCGTGAACTTCACGTCTTAGGTTGCTCATTTAAGAAGCTCTAAGTCAATAACGCAGATAAGATTCTTTCAACTTCGTATTTACGATTGTATTTATCCTTAGTAGATTTAGAGTTAGCTTGGCAGAAAGCAATATAATTTACTCATTTCGTGCTTTATTACAAAATCTAGTGTCTTTGTCGATCGTTTGAAAACTGAAGGACCTAATAACTGGTATTAGTATAGTTCGCTGCCAAATCGGCAGAGAATTGTGACTGATGTTTATTCTTCGTGCTCGTGATTAACTTTGTGCTGCGTACTGCGAATTAAAGCGTACCTCCCAAACACTCACTTAGACAGCTTAGAGCATTGCCAAGATCCCTTTTACAACATGGTAACAAAATGCTATTCACTTAAATACAAAATTATCGGAATGAAATGCACTTGTGGTCTCATAGGGGATCAGAAACTACATCAAATGACAAGAAAATTCACTGGTCATTGATTCATCCCCTCATGCTAAATGCTGTTTATCCAACCAAAGATCTCCAGGCAGAAGTGCCTGAGTTGTGAACGCGTTGGATACAAGTGGTCCTGAGAAATAAATATAATGGTTTCTGATGGCATAAGTTGCATTCCTTCAGATTAATGGGCAATATAGTGTATTACTCATTAATGGTCCGAAAGTCGGAGGATGCCTCATGAAACATTAACAAGTTCTGTTATCGCTATGCCAAGAATGGTCCCCTAATCCTCACCCTCCCTTCCTCGCCGACTGGCGGAAACAATCTCCCCCTTGACAAGCCAGGAACCCGATGCTCAAGCCTGACCGCTTTTGTTTTACCGAAAAAGTGCTTGGCTGGAGAAATTAATTAATTTCAAAGAGGGACTTGTGCCTCCTCAGAAGCCTTGTGTAAACAAGGGACGCGTTGGTGTTCTCTCAATAAATTTGAAAAATATGACTTAGTGCTATTCTGCCACTGCAATATGCCACTCTAGTCGGCTTGTTGCCTATGCGAATCGCTCTCGAACCACCAGTTGTAGTCTGTTCGCACAAAAAAGTTCTTGCCGAGCTCCGGATTACCATCGACTCTAGCCGATTTGTAATGCAGAAGTACCTCGATTTGACCTCAGTTTATTGTCCACGGATTGATGCAGTGTTGTGTCGCTCGTCACTGCCTTGCACAGTTACACAATTTTAGTCTTTCTAGAGAAGAAGCTGGTCAACTTCGCAGTTTACACCGGAAGGGATATGAGTATGAATTTTTCATCTCTGTCACTCTCTGTTTTGCAGTGAAAGATAACCTGACCAAATCTGGTTTTCGGTTTACTAGTGACCAAACAATCCCCCAGCGGGCCATAGCAGATTTAATTAACCCGAGCCTTTTCTCCTTCCTCCATGACCTCACCCCCTTAAAATCATTTCTAATGAATATTTTATTTTCCCCAGTGTCAAAACCGATACTAATTAAAATGGTAATGTCATCTGCACCATCACAGTTCAAGAAAAAATACGTTTATTTTAACCTAGGATTGCATCAGGTATCATAGCGGGATACACTATCAAAATCGGATCAAGTTAAAACGATAGTTGTTAAAGAATAAATCAAATAGCAGAAAATCGAAACCATAGTAGAGGTTGATGCATGTTCGGGGCTATACTTCGTAATTGAGCCATACCAACAAGGCACAGCTCACAACACAGTGGAGCGTTTTTATTTGGTGTTTTACAGCAAGGGCTTCGATCACCAACTTAATACATGATGTTGACAGCGCTCATTCCACCCTCGTGTCTTGGATCTCTGATCTTGTTAATATTCTTCATAAAGAGGTCGTAAAGGTGGGCGTAATTGTTTCGTATGTCCTGCAGGGTCATTCGCAGCCTAATGTAGGTGGTTTCGTCTAGCTCTGTTAGGGCCTCCGCGTACGCACCCACACCGGGCCATTTGATCCGCTTTGTGTTTATTTTCCCCCTGTACACCAGATAATCGCAGTAAAAGTCCAGCATAGAGGTTACATCTGTTTCAGTTCGTGAGGCATCCAACATCACCTCTTCTTGTACCGCTACGCCAAAGTTGTTTCCATCCTCAATTTTAGGAATATTTAGCATTACCCACATTCGAAGTAGCTGGGCATCCTCTCCGAGTTGAAGGAGGAGTGGTTTTACAATATTGTAGGCTTCTGATATAATGGGATTTGTCGAAGCCTCGGCTAAAGACTTGGGCAATGCACCAGTTGGTTGTTCATTTCCATCTTGGGGAACAGTGGAAAGGGCTGCGTCATGAATCCTCTTGCGATTGGCCGAAAGATCGAAGAGAGGGCTCTTAAGGGTATCAACTATGGTCTGCAAACGCTGGGGGAAAACAGTGCCGAGCTGAATTTCAGCGTCTTTAGTCAGCTGTGTGCGGAAATTGTCCACAAAGCCAGTCATACCCGCAGCCATACCTGTGGTCAACTGCGTCGAGTTCGTGGCTCTCAACAAAATATATCGATGGCACGTGCTTCATCACGTGACCCAAGCACAGTGGGTCCACCCAACACGGCGATTCTAGACCCGTGATTTCAAAATCACGAAGCCGTGATTCCAATAAGAAAGTGCGATAGTTGTCAGCTCAAGATACGTTCTCATCAAAATTAGGCAATGCTAGTTATAATGAAAACTGCTGAAAAACATTGACAATGTGGAAGAGACAGCGAGACGCGATTTCTTAACCCCCATCTACCTATGTACTTTATTTTGGAATTGCTGTGTTATTGGTTAGAATCGGCCTCATAAAGATAGAATATGAGAATCGTGGCTTACATATCTCTTCGTTGTGTAATAGCTTGCATAGAAAATGATCACGAGGATAATGTAATAGGTAGCAAATGGGAAAGTCCATTGGCTAAATTCGACTTCAAATCCCCGAATCATGGAGTTAGCCGAGAGCAAGTTGAATCGGACCACACGGGAGGCGAATTTAGAATTTTCAAATAGCCATCGTTACGATTCGATATTGCCTCGGGCTGGTCACTGCCAGATCGATCGGCGCTAAACCACAAGAAATCCCAAGAGTTCACTTCAGTTACTTGGCCTGTCCAATCAAACTGGACAAAAACTCTCGACGACAGCGGCCATGTGGCACGCTTGTTTTCCTCTAGAGATCAGGCAGCGATTGAGTCAAGTGAAAGGGCTTGGTGAAAACGGAGAGACGTACAGTGTGGCATCGAAACGACCCAATACCTGCAAGCATGTCGCTCATCAATCCGCGTTGTAAGCTTTAATTATTTGAATTCGAACTAATCGGTTAGGATATATAGACCCATATTTAGCATTACCTTTACGAAATCAAAAAATATAAGTTTACCTACCCCATTGATAGCGCCTAAATCCATAAAATTGACGAAGAGGGTAATTCGAAGCACAAAAATTGGTTTACTGACTACCATATAACGGAGGCAGAGGTAGGGCGATGTTAAAATGACCCACAACCACCCTCTACTACCCAGGCCGTTTTTGAAATGTGACGACGAACCACCTAAGCATTAGCTAAATATCTCAACGACTGTGAGCTCGAACAAATAAAGGATCAAAGCCGATCCTGGAACTTTGGTGCTTCGTTGAGTTGAATGAGTCATCTAAGGGGGCCGACGGCCAACCTAAGTGGCTGTGAATCCGTAACCGTTCTGACATTTGACGCGGGACAAACACCTAGTTCAATTGGGTGGTTGATTACATTAACAAATGGTTGAACGTACATGATTAATCAGTGCCACATGTGCGGCTACAGGTCATTGGCTGCTTTACAATTTTGTTACGCGATAGGGGGTGATTGCGCAGGAGAGCATTTTATCAGGTGTTTTATGTCAAACTTCAAATGAATAAGCAAACAAGAAGCGAGCACTCAAAAACGGCATGTAATCAAGAAAGCGTCTGCTTTTTGGAATGGAACGTTTCCAGGAGCGCAGTTATTGTGGGATGATCGGCGACCACAAATTCCCCCACTCCAGTAGCTGAAGCAGAAGCGTCGATTGGATGGTTCGTCAAACAGGGAGAGAAGGAGGCTAAATCAGGTGAAACTTCGAGGTTCTACGATGCGGTCCTCATTTCTTGTCAACACTTAGGTGGGTTTCTTGATGTGTTTGGCATTGTTGACGTAGTTGATCGATTTTACAGTGGCCAGGGCGTTTTGGAAAAGAGCTATATAGGACTAAAGTAAGAAGAAAATGCCGGATGTAGAAATGGCAATGTCACAGGCAATGCGAAACTCTTTTAGGCATTCGTTGGCTCAAAGAGCTTAACCAAATGCTCACAAGTCCATCAAACAGTATGACCTTAAATAGGAATCCTTAATTGTCCAAACTGGGACAAGGCCCTGAAGCATTGACGTAAATCACACAGTTTTGGTCCTGATTCCTAAAAGCACACAATAGAGCAGAAATGTGGACGTTCGGCTCCACCCCCACAAAACGCTAAATTGATACTTCTCGACATCACAGGATAGAAGCACACGAAATGAAGTGTGATGGCACTTCATTAGTGGTAAACACAAGGCCATCACAGAAAATCTAGTTAGATAGGCTCAACCACAACGACAGAGAAGTGACAACAAAGGTTTGCGGTGTTTACGGCGGTAGAGTGACTTCAGACAAACTAGTCTATAAACAGTTGGCAGGGTTTAAAATCTAAGAACACTGAATGCATGACAAAACAAGCGAATTAACCAACAAAGAGCGGGTCAGATGAGCCAGATGAGAGTTTGGCTCATTCACAAAGCTGGTTAGCAAGGCCGTGAATTACGACTTCGCTTTATCAACAAGGGATTAAAGCCTTAATGACCGGATTCTCTGTAACAGACGTACATCAGATCAGGCTGTTTGTGGAAGGCAGTGAGTTATTGGATTGGGAGCTAGAATAGAGTGGGTGAAAGAACACGTCAGCCAAGTGAATAAACTGTTACCGCAGTTGCAAGCATTCAATAGTCACGACAAGGTCGTTTGAAACAGTCGCCGAAGCTAGGGGCAGAAATTAATTTTCACTGTATTGATTAGGAGTCAAGTGTTGGGAACAAAGGCTAACCGCACCAACAACAATACGAAAAACGCACTAGATACGCCAATTATGCGTAAGCATAAGTCAAGACTTGAAGAGCTAAACCAGAAAGCTCGGCGAATCCCAACCTCCCATAGAATTCGAACCCAATTAATAGAGGCCCTTGATGATGTTACCACAAAGTGGTCGCAGCCAAGGTTGTCATTACAAGCTTCATAAGTGCTGCGTTGCATCGCTATGGACTGGGATAGCGTGCTCGGAACCCACATGATGTGATCACAACCAGAGTAGGGCATTGACATCAAACATACTTACCTTGGAGTGATTAATTTGAAGTTCTGCCAAAGCAATAAGATTCTTTTGGAAGTACTTTATTCGACGCACCTTGAAGTCCTCAATTTCTTTAAAAAAAGACACAAAGAAAACATTTAAGCATGTCATGACCCATTGCACTGTAGCCTGACTACCTTTTTAGCATAGAAATTACAACCAAATTATTGGGATTCGTCGGGGCGTATATTTGTATCGCAGAATGCATAAAAGGTACACAAGCTGTTGAAAAAGTTAGACCTTAAAAGTACTAGACTATACGAGTCAGTTAATTTTTGACCACGTTTAATGCAAAATCAAGGAAATGCAGTACCAAGCTAAAGTCAACGTGTAGTACGAGCGCCCATACTGTCTGTAGGTTTTTAAATTAGGAAGTTTTAAGAAGCACCACCAAAAGTAAAACTCGTGTTGGAGCAAAGTACCGTGCCCGATTGAGAGCAGAGGAATATAAATCTACGTTTTACCCTGCAGTCTTCTACCCCTTGTATTGGTAGAAACTAAGGGAACATGCTTTACCGCTTTTCATTTGCACACAATGTGTATATTCATGAGCGTTTCAATCAAGTCGCATCACGGTCTGATTACTTCATGAAGGGTCAACGCGACTTTTAAACACGTTAGCACAGGTTTTCACAATAGCCATTGGATGGAACAAGTTAATCGCGCCTTATCCAGAGTTCACAGGTAAATCAACGTCGGATAGTATAAAAGTGTGTTGAAAGTAACGAACGACGCGGAATTATTTCATAAGCACAAACGTCCGGCTAGAGTTAAAACGGTTGTTACTCATGCATCTCAAATCCAAACTTTGTAATTTATGGATCCTAAGGTGAGGGATTCTAAAAGCACAGGAAAACGGAGATAAATGAATGCTAGAATCTGTGCAACTGTGGGTTTCCACACAGCGCGCGTGCTGTGATTCCCGTCAGTGTTGCTAGAGGATGGTGAAAAGGCAACACGACGAGGTGAATATGACAGCCGATCCACCCACTAGACATGACGTGTGAGGTGGGAGCGTGACACAATCCAAATTGTGAAAATGATCTCATTTCGGAGCTGATGTTGGATGGGCAGACAACAATACGAAACGCACAAGATGAAGCAAAGGAAGAAAGGAAAGGGTGTGGAGATTGAAGGACAACCGACTGGACATTGCACGTCGCACAACCAGCTGGTTAACAAAGCCCAGTGGGCTTGGTGGTTGATGCAGTTAGGCAAATGTAAATATTTTACAAAGATGTGAAAAACGAAGTATAGCTCCAGCGCAATTTCTCTTGACTAGCGGAAGCCGTCCAGGATCCGATGCCTGCGGTCAAGAAGTGGAACATAAACTCGGGCTTTCCAAGGCCCTGGCTAAGATATTGATACGGCAGTTTTTTCAAGTTAGGTGAGTGGAAGATGAACCTGAAACCCGAATTTTACAACTTTACCCGTAGGCCGAAGTATGTGAAGCTAGCTTGGGTACATGAAATTATCCGGAAAGTCGGTACATTCAAATTTAATCGGAAACACGCTTAAAGTGGATTGAAAAGGCATTAATTACTTTAAGTTTGGAAACTATGTGGCGGAAAATTTTGAAGTGACCCTTTCACTTTAATCCATGAGGCACAGATAGGGACGCGCTCCAACAATGACTCACCATGACGAGCCGTCTCGGAGATATCGGTGAAGCGCTTATGGGTGGCAACCTGCTGGCTGTCCGCGGCGGCAATGTCCCGCTGCTTGGCTCGTGCCTTGTCCAAGGCCTTATTAGCTGCATGATAATCGGCCAAGGCACGGCTGCGTCTGTAGAGGAGGTCTTTGGCTGCTGCAGACTCGGCGCTGTAATACGCCAGTGTGTCCGAGAGTTTGAGGTCTTCGTCAGCTGCGACGCGCATTTCGATTGGCTAAAAGCACGCGGATTTAAGTCGTTTGCTTATGATGGCATTGATGGTTGACGCATAAACGAGGAAATAAAGCCTAGTGAACACCAAACCATGGAACAAACTGTCTGTCGGGAAGCGTGTTTTATACATGGCAAATGGCGATATTATACGCGACTGCACAGTTTGTTAACGCATCGATTCCAACACGTAAACAGGGCCTGCAGTAAAAACAGGTGCCGATTTACGCCTGACACAAGTAAGACAGATCAAAGGTTTCTACCAAACCAAGCAAACTCTTATGCCAGATACACGAAGCAAGTAGAGGTGGACTCAGTTCAAGAAACCCGAGAAATACATCGAACACGAGTTTATTTTTAGTTTAAGACACAGTCCAGCACTATATCCTGGTAGCGACGCAACAATTTTTGGGATAGACTACACAAAACAACTTAAACTATTGGACGTGAACAATTTTCCCGACCAAAAAGAAAGTCAATTCCATGAAAAAGATGAAAACAACAAAGGTTGTGGAAATCATTTTGCGTTACGAAGAATGTAGCACGTAAGGACAAGGATATTGCATTTTAGATTCAAATTCGGATGAAAATGACTGTTAAAATTTAACAAGTGGAACTTACATAAAGCGAGCTAAAGAATTCGTACACTCGGGAAGTTAGTCTACAAAAGATAAGATAAAAATGGTATAAACTGAAAGTGTTCTTGTACACATTTAGGGGAGTCTATATGACACCATGGAGTGAGTTATCAATTGATGTAAACAAAAGGAAAATGAAAGCTCACGGAGACAAACTCTTGATTCAAGTCGCTTTAACGACCATAATGATTACAAAAGCTTTCACTTAAAAAGCATGACAGTTGATACAACATATGCTAAGAGACATTTAGTAGAATCTACGTTTGCGCTCGCTTAAATATCCCTTAAATTAACGGGCGGCAAAAATATGACAGTAATACAAATTTTTGCAAAACTGGTTTTCATGGGGGAACTGGGATGCGTAGATGTAACAAATTTACGGTCCACACATTAACCAAAGTTGCAACAACACCTAACAAAATAAACGTAAAAAAACCGGAGCGATTGTGTTGCTGGTTAAATTCAATTGCAGAGAAAATCAAAAAAATTTTACATACGCAGCTTCGGAAGTCTTGGAATTGATTGGGGGAGTGGTGAAAAGATCCTGGAAGAGAAGCTCCAGACGAAGAACTTCTTCTCCCAGCTGACGCCGACATCGACAAACGTTGTCAGCAGCCAGGTAGGCGTCATGCACGGCGGAATAAAAACGGACTAGATAGGGTTTTTCATCCCTGAAGAACGGATCATCGTCCCTTTGGTTGGAGAGCAGAAGGTTCTCATCGGCAGTCTTGGTTACGGATTTGAGGAAACCTGCAGCCTGAAAAAGCCAAAAAACAAACTTAGGCGAAGTGCGTGAGAGAACTTCCAGAATGCCTACACAAAACACGGATACCTTTTCTTTTGCATTTTTGGTGCGAACACTTAAGTTATCGTCGTACTCTAGGAAAACACGGAAACCATAGTCATTTCGGAGAGACGGATGGTTCGCGATTCGCTGGAGAAATACTTCGTGCATTGCAACTGTTTTCTTAAAATTGGCTAAATATTCCCTAAAATAAAAAGTAACATGGAAAGTAGATTGAGAGCGACTGCCAAATATGACGGAGGAGAGAGAGGGAGCAGAAAAATTATGTGAAAGGCTGACTGTTGAAATTGTGTGCGCATACAATAAACAGACAACCGCTTACGCCTCAAGTTCTGCCTTTAGTTTTTGCATATCCTGCTTAGTTACGGTGCCCTCACTTTTACCCAATCGTTGCAATTTCGCCCTAGATGCATCAAAATCAGGTCGAGGAGGCGCAGGAGGAACCTAAGTATAAAAAGATTTGCTCAACGTTGCGTACGGGAAATATAACCCAATACGACAGCTGAAACTTACAATAAAACCAGCAAAGGCTTCGTTCTCTTCCAGTTGGTCGTGAAGCCAGATGAAATCATCATGCACACGATTTACTTGAAACTCGTGCCTTTTAAATTCTGGTAAATTAGTCTGTTGAAAGAAAGTCACCATTAGAAACCAAATAATTGTAAAACTCATTAGGATTTAGTCAAGAACTCCGTTACTAACCTTTGTCCGGACAGTAAATAAAACACGATCCTTATCGCTGAGAGCGTCAGATATCTCAACATTCAAGCTAAAATCCGACGCATAATTACCATCGGCTCTGAGACGACTTTGAGAACTGAAGCCTTGTGGAACTGCCGCAGCTCCACCAATAGGCACTGTGTCTGGGAGGAAACTAGACGGGTCCGCAAAATCTGAGGCCTAGACAGAAAAGCCGGTTTGTAAATAAATTTGTCAGTACCATTAATAAATACTTTCACTGATTACGTAGATTAGGAGGATGTTTTGGATCTAAAATGAAAATGAAGTTGGTTGGCATTAAATATTTTCAGCAAATAATTAGATAAAAATGGGGGCAAGTGTGGAACACTTAATAAAATTGTTAAAAAAAACGAAATTGGTAAAATGCTTCCTCGAGATAAGTCATATGTGCAAAAAAGACACAGATTAAGGTTCTGAAGTACCATAAAACATGAAAGACAAAAATTTCGAACTCATGCCACATTGCAGTGATTGTGTTAAAGCATGTGAAACAAAGATTCTATTGATTCAAAGAAACCTACTTTTATCAAAGGTTTAAAGAAGAAAGTAAAAGCACTTAGTAATTTAATAACAGGATTGGTAGGAGCAGTAAATAGCACGCAGAAGACGAGAAAAGATTATTGTTAAAGACGTTGTAGAGCGAAAAATGAAGATTATTTAAAAATTTTTAAGAACAAGAGGTTAAAATGAAACGTTTTATATGACTCACGCAAGGATAAAAACGAACAAATAATTGACCTTAGGAAGTGAGCCGAAAATACAGGCTTAAAACCCACGAGGTTCAAAGAAGAATGAGATGCTGGTGGTAACGATTGGGTAATAAGAGTTGCCGCAATTTTCATTGGCATATTAAAATAAATAATTTATGTCCATTTTATAAGTTAGTTCCGTTCTAGCATATGCAAATACAAACAACAAATTCGTTTTCATGGCTTATTGCTAGTCTAAACATAATACACTACCGCGCACTGGTAAAATACATTCTGATTTGATATATTGATAGGAACGGATATAGTTTTGACCAATTTCTGTAAATGGAAGGCTACACAATAATTGACTGAAAACAATCTCCAGCAGCACCTTCTATCAACGTAATTATTTGAAGAAATTTTTTAGATACACATACAGATACAAATTCGGTTACAATTGTTTCCTTTAGATTTCTAATGGGTGCGTTTTTATCCATTTATTTCAGATGATTTTAATTGGCCAAAGGTAATGCTAAATGAAAAGATTATGCAATCCTCTACACAGTTATCAGAAGAAAACATTGTGATAACGTGAAATGGTGGGTAATGTTAACGTGAATGGCGTTATCGAATTAAGTAAAATGAGTACCATTTACATTGAGAAGAATTTGGTTTTCTAATAGTACGTAGCCTTTCATTATCGAGAGTTGCATTTTGATTTCTTTCAAATTCCACATAATGTCTCAACTACGAATCCTTTTTTAACCAATTGGGATCTTTCAAGTTACGAGTAGACCTGATTATATGGAGCAAGTCATCGTCCACACTTCGCATCATCAATCTGCAATACATTCGAGAGACACAATTACGCCTTTACAGGTATGCAAAATTGTCTCATTTCTTGCTTTTTAAGTTAGGACACTAACACAACAACTCAACTACATTTTTTTGCAGTTATGCATTTCCAGTTAATTTTGCAGTTCGCATTCATGGTACGCATTTTAACCGAGAGCAGAGCATTAGTAGACTGCAGATGTTTGGCATTATTCAGATAAACCTAACAAGCGGTAATTTAGCGCTATTTTTATGTAATTTTCCCCGTTTGATTTACAAACCTGAGAATGTTTTGCGCATCACAGTGTGTAGAAGAACTGTTACACAATAGATAAAAAGTCCTTAGAACAAATCACAAAATCCAGACATTTATCCAAGGAATTGGTTCCTTACAAAGGACAGAGAATCTGAAATGATTAATCCAGAGTTATAACAAAGCTACATTCAGACACTCCATGATGAAAATTTCAGAAGAACAAGAAGACGAAAACTATGATTCATTGGAACGGGTCAACTTAATGAGCACGAGAACATCGTGACATTAGTAGTAAAATCAGTTGCCGCGAAAGATCTCCCTTAGGCGTCTGCGTCGTTCCGTTTCCATTTTCACAATGGCTTTCCAGTCTTCAACGGTGGGAATACTTCGTCCACAACTAAGCACGTAGAGCCTAAACGTTAGATAATAAATCTTGAATAGAGAGATAAATGTAAATTGCTAATGGTCAACTGAGTAGGTTATTGTCTAGCCAAAGCGGACCACAATCAATTTCAATAATTACCTAGAAAAAAGCCCTAATAAATCAGATAGAAATAAGGAATAAGCTACGGTTCTTCGTCTGTATGCACAACCGTCATCCTTACGCAACCCGGCCATCCGTGAATGATTATTATTTGAAGGCCATTGAAGTAAAATAAACACCAGTCTTGGAAAATTCAGACTCCTACGGAATATATGGCGTTAAAACCACCGCAATTTGCTTCGTCACTTGAATAACTTGACTCATAGTGCAATTGTTAAATTCATTCACTATCGTACCTCCATATCTACAGTGGGAAGTCGGTCGAGAGCAGATAAAATGTACACTGGCCAGAAGCGTTTCAAGGGCCTTAGCTCACACAAGTGACTAAACAAACACACACACACACACACACACCAGTTTTAGGGACGACACCCAATCGATAAATGAACAAAGTGCAGCAATTACAGCAAGACAGATACATGCGAAAGTGTCAAGATTGAATTAAAAAGTATAAACTACTCACTTCAGAAGTACTAGCATTACTGCAAAATCATCAACCTCAATGTGTGTGGAATTATCCTTGCGCCAATTGACGAAATCCTGGTTAATAATCTACAAGGGGATTAATAGCGGCAATAATATGCTTAATTGATGATTCCCCAAAAGGTAAGAAAACGCGAGGCAGGATGACATTTTAGGCTGCCGCTAACAGAACCACACACACTGATTGATGATAGTATAATGGAAGTATCCCGGTAATCTAATGCATTCGTTCAAAGATATTTCGCTACCTATTCACTACAAAGAGACAACAAACGACAGGCGGAAATGTTGAGCCGGATAACCCGCTTTTGACTACACTGTTTATTGCAGAAGAGCATAGCCTAGCTACGTTAACAATCAGACTACAGTAGACGTCCTAAAGCTAAGTGCAGATGCGTTAATTTAGCAAAATATCCACATTCTGGGAGGACAAAGGAGATGGTCTTGTCGACCTTGAATGACTGACGTTTTACAGATAAGTACGAAATTTAACCGTGTAAAGTATACCTCTTTCCACTTACCTGTTGCAGTTCTGATTCTATTGAGTAATCTGTTTCCTCTGCTGGAACAGCCTGAAGCAAGAGGCGTCTAACCAAGGAAAGTGATAGGGGATCAAGGACTGATCTCGCCTCTTCCTCAAGAACATTTTGCAAAGGCAGCACAAGCGAAGGCTTGATTATCGACGGACACGAGGAGGAGAGGAGGAGAACACGAACATCGGCCTCCCAATCGCGTGTGTAAAATTGAAAGTCGTACATCAGCTTCCTCTGCACCGCTAGTGTGGTCAATACCCGACAGTTGAGTACCCCAACGGAGGTTAGCTGTCCGGTTGACATGCGCGTCTCGTCAGCGAGAATCTATGCGAGCAGAACAAAAAGACAGCCACTTACACGCTGTTGAGGCAAGTTCTCAATGCCGTTAGATCCGAGGGCAAAATTCACCGGGGTCAACCTTTGCTATGCATAAAAAATTCAAGGCTAGAAATAGTGGAACCTGCCACGAAAAAGTACTTATTTTCTCGTGTTCACATAATTTACACTTAGACAAGCCTTCACGTGCAAATATTTAAGCATAATGCATTCTCTGCCCTCGCCAGAACTAGGATAGGATGAATATCATTCGACAAGCCCACCCGTGCCTGAGACGAAAATCAACCCACCTGACTTCCAGAGGGGAGCTGCAGTAGACCAGGCTCGAGTTCACCCTTGGCGACATTGTGCACAGGCAAGAGCGGGGGTCCCGTATTAAGGGATTCTATTGAAACCTCAAGAGTAGATAATTGGGGCAGAATGTCCGACAGTGTGCTGGCTAGATGCTCAGTAAACGATGGGTTCCATCGACAGATATTCAGCGGTGGCAACATCATGGGAAAAGCGGAAACCGATTTAACACTAAAAACAAGCAAAAAACGCACTTTAAAGGGTATGAAGTCGATAAATTTTATCTTCGAAACACCAGGAGTGCCTTGCGAAACACGAGCCGACAATGTGTGAACATCCCAGAAACACGTCCAACCTTCAAAGTTCTTACAATGTAGTGACTGTCCAAAATTCTCACAAGATCGGTCACGCCAAACAGTTATAACAAAAGTGTAGCGAAAGGTGTTTGCGGGAGTTTTGATCCATGGTAGAGAGGAACGCAAGACTGTCATCGTTCCATGTACAACGTCAAATTATGTGGCTGCCGCAGCACAATGACGGTCACATAGGCTAATGATTGTCGGCAAAAGTTAAAGCAGAAAACGACAGAAGAGCGGTTACAATCCTAAGAATTTCGACTACTCACTAGATGGAAATGCAAATCAACGACTCATCCTAACAGATCTTGGCTACTTAAAATGTTCTTTTATTGACATCGCAAAGCCTACTAGTTCCTTTTCACACCAGCCAAATTGGATCCCATGTCTTGAAACACCCTGTAGTAAAGTTAAATCTGTAACAAAACCAGGGGCTTTTGCTGATTAATCGTGTCGATCTTCAGCTGACAATGAATTTTCAAAACAAACTCATGCAACTAGCTTTTCCAAAATAACCTGCAGCAACAAAATTACAGAGTTTTCTGAGTTGATTTGCATAACATCGACATCTTGGACGGTTTTCTCATATCGAAACCTGCTTTGGCACATCAAGTTAAAAGAGCTTTTGTGCCTCACGAGTTTCACTACCAAGAGGACACTCAACAACGAAATACGAAACTCATTTTGGTCCTAACGATACTATAGACAAGTACTAAGGGCTCGACAAAATCCGCAGTCAACATCAATTGTCTGCTTTTATATTATTCCGGTGGTCTTGAGGTCAAATGTTACACGAGAACCCTTACGAATAGCCGTGGTGATATGCGGAAAAGGGGTTAATTTATTAGCTCCGGTCACCGGCAATTCAACCACAAAATAATCTGAGAAGTCCATCGCGTCTTCAATTCAAGGAAAGGACTTCTCAAATTACAGAAAGCAGCAAATGTGTCGGGGTAAGTGAAAATGAAGATAGCCTAAAAAACAAAGCGAATCAACGTAACTGAATAGACGTCGATCAGTTACATGCGCAGTATAGATACTTTTGACTATGTCGCTATTAGGAGGCATCGAAAATACCCAAAAGTTCACTACCTGGTAGACAACAAATGAAGAAGGGTATACTCAGCAGCAAGCTCATCTCCCTTAAGAGCAGATTTTAAAAGAGAAAGTGTAGCATTTCTCCCAGAGTGGATGTCAAAATTGTCTCCCATTAACTTCCCTAGAAAGAAAATAGAATGGGACTAGAGGCAACGGCTTGATGATAATTATTAATGAAATGGCACAAAGGCAATGTTATGTATCGTCGATGACAAGGAAGGACAAATATGAAGATATCGGTATGCTTAAAACAGAAACAAATTAGAGGGCAAAAACTATTTGGTTTATCACACCTCATTATTGCTGTAGAATTGCTAAAACTAGCGAGTCAGGTTGAGTGAAGTAGTTGTGTTCATAGAAAGTTAAAACCTCGACTACAGCTGGTGGCAATAACCTATTTCGTGAGTTATAATATATAATATAATCAAATTCCACCAGATAAAAACTGGCACAAACTTCAGTGTTGGGTGTTCTACAGGGTCGACATTTGGGCAGAGGGTACAATCATATTTGTTGCAAAAACAAACAACTTTACAAATCGTGCTAGGACGAGTTAACGTTACGGACAAACGTACACTGATCTTGCAGACATGGGTGACTTCGGAAGGTAGTCTTTTCCACAACAATGGCGTGAACTCGAGGCAAATTAGTCTTTTTTCCATTGCCTTCTGATTCCGTTTCCTCACCGCCAAGTCTTGCATGTTCCAGAATCCCAAAAACGATAACGATATCTGTCAGCTTAAGGACCTCCGCTGTTTTCTCGTTGTATACCTTGAAATATAAAAATGTACAGCCAAATTTGATTAAATGGGCGAACCGATTCCGTAGATTAAAAAGCACTAAACGTACTCTCAGAAGAATTCCGCTAGGGTTAGAACCAGTTTTTTCTTGGATTTCTTCTGCTTTTAACTCTTCGATTTCCCCTGCAAACTTTTTCACTGGGATATTTTCTTTGCTGTCGGTCCTACCGACTGACCTTTTAACGCCAAGAGTGGTGGAAGGTAGGTGGACGTTGGTAGGGAGAGAAGCGTTTACAAGAAAAAATCAGGTAGTTATGGAAAACATTGCGTAACTTCAAAAAATCAGTTGTTGTGTGGTTTGCAGAGTTTCAATCGCATGATATCTTCGCAGACGATAGTTAAAGAGGTAAAATGAATGTTCGACACACGGTCGATTTTCATTTAAATACTAGTAGCACAATACATCGCCATTATTACATGCCCCAGAGAAAATGTACTATATTTAGATGGCTTGCAGCAGTAAATAGGATTGAAAATCGTAACAGCCTAATAATTACAAGCTTATGTAGCAGCTCGATGTGTCACCAATAGGGGCAGAGTGTAGCGTCGACAGCTCCAGCAAACTTGAAAAGGATATTTTAAACCAGTCGGATGCACCAGGTAAGGAGCAAACATAGAAGGATTGTCTTGATGCAAATGTTATACTTTTTTCATCAAGCGCTGCATCAAACTTCAGATATTCCACATCCCGATAACGCGTCGAACTAACAACATCAACACCCACGTGTTTGTACGAGGACATGTAGAGTTCTGAATCAAACATGTCTTGTACCATGCCTTGAAAACAGACAAGATGGCCATCAGAAATACGAGGAAGGCTGTCTTCGGTAAGAAGTGGAATCTAGCAAGTTAAATTAGTTGTTACTGGGATTTACGACTTGATCAGATGATGTTAAAATTTTTTGCTTCATAAAGTCTTCAAAGGAGCCTTCGTCATTTTCTAAAAGTAGATTACACATTAAAATATGCATACGAAAATGCTGGTCAAATGTAGTTAAAGGCGACACAAGCCAATGCGACTCCATTGTAGTTTCCTGGCAGCAAAGAAAAAGGGAAAGATGAATAATTAAGCCAATACACCACCATATAATAATAAAACACTTCACCAGAACCAAAAAATGACAAAATGAAAACACATAAAGTCCTTTGAAGTAGACTAAATAGCAATACAAGTGCAATGATTAATGTCCAAAACATTAATGATGACAGTGAAATTTGAATTAAACACAAAACTTATAGGAGTCATTTGGCTTAAATTTAGGAAAAATACTGATAAAAACGTCGAAGATTGACAACTTTTTACATACGGTTTTAGAACATGAGGCATTAATTGGAAGCAACCAATTAGACAAGAAAAAAGTTAGGTCGACAAATGTTATATCAAAAATACAAATGTGATGTCTCCTTTAAAAATAGAAAGCAGTAAACATTGTACCCAAAAACTATTCCTCCAAAAAAATTACACAACTAATCGAAAAGTGCACGAGCACAGAAAGGCGACGTACTGTGGTATAGTCTGGAGGATAAAAAGCGAAAACTCAATGGGCGGTACTCACGACCTAAATTTGTTAAAGAATGCGCCATTCAAAATTCAACCTTATCTGGTTTACATAATAGCAGAAAAACAACAGAATTTCTCAATAATATTCCAAATTTTTTTTTGGACTAAATTGACACTAAAGCAACATGCTATTTTACGATACTTGATTACATATTGAAATTGCTTTAAGCGGATAATGCACTTAAATTAGGCGTAATAACTACAAATTTATGTCAAAAGAAAGAACCCTTCTGCAAGTAATTTTTTTTATAAATTCCTTTAGGATCATTTAATTAAAAAATTCATGCTAAATATAGTAGCTAGACTTATTAAAGCTTCAATCTGACATTTTCATTTAATCCTAATTAATTCGTTCCATATCATTCAAAATTACCATTTCCATCTCTTCGCTGACACGGCAGTTACCTACGAAATCAGCCACTGATCAGTGATGCATGCCTTTGTGCAGCCACAAAAAAGGTTTCAGCGTCGTTATTGGTTGTGTGACTCGACTGAGTAAGCCCGAGATTTATTAGGATTATTAAAATTAGAACACATAACTATGATCTCTCGCGAAATGAAGAGGCAACTATCTTATAACTGCACACGTAGCAATCTTTTTCTGAATTTGATATGTTATCATTTTACTGCATAACGTGAAATGAATTATAACAAATCACTGAAATTAAGAAATCCCAACAAAGACATCTTAATAAGATTTCCAATTCACAAGCAGGAACTGCATTTTTGCACCTTTAAAGATTCAGGGTAGATTTTTGCGCCATCATGTTTTAAAAATTGGTGCTAATGGTTTTTACTTTTAGATATTTGTTTGTGTCACATAAATGGAAAAATGGATCTGGTCACAGTCACTAAATTGGAAATATAAGTGCTCACAAATTTTGCAAGAAAATCTTTTTTGAATTGGTTTTCCTTGAAAATTGACGTTTTTTTTAAAAAAAACATGTTTTTTAAATACCTGTCCTGCCACTCTAGGATAGCACTTAAGTCAATAGCAGTTAATGAAAATGCGCAGATGAACCAATGGATGGTAGGAAATGGAATACATTAAATTATCTAGAATGTTTGATTTTCAGAGGTATTGTAGCGTGCTTGGGCATGATCAGAAGGCGTATGGACGAATAGAAAGTTTATTGGTACAAAAATATCAACGTGGATCTCCGGTATCGGGGTTCTAGAGCCCTTGTTTACATGGGGTTCTTATATACTCGGTCCAGGTTGTCCCTGTTCGCTCATTGGCTCCGGCCTGGATTCTACAAATAGAAAGACAATCTCGTGAGGGGATTGGTTACTCGGGCTTTGGCGCTCCATTTGAAACTTAAATGGTCCTCGCAGCCGGAAGTCACGTGATGCTGCCCCCACGGCGCGCCACTGGCTCTCGACCAACGACTAGATGTCAAGATGGCGTCTTTCTGCTCGCACGCTACAGTATGCCTGTGTTGTAATAACTACTGCCGCGATTTCGACGCCCAGGGCAATTTTTTCATATTTCAGGTGAAAAATTGTTTCAGTGCTTTTTTTAAAGTGTGAAGTGGGTTACGGTTTCCTCACGCATAAAGGGTCTTTAACGGTCATTATTTTTCCAAAAAGATTTATTCATCAAAGTGTCCAAAAGTGATGCTCATATATCTATCTTCTTTATTGAAAAATGAAACTGTTCTGTTTTATTCCCCTTTTAGCGCAAGTTTTAAGTAGCATGTTTTATGTCACCATAAAATTTTTTTCTTTCAGAAGAACTAAAAGTAGGTTGTATACACAACATACGATTGTGATTTTGACGATTCTGTTCTGCTCAAATACTTCATGTTCATTACTTTATTTTTGTATTTTGAGGTATTTCCGAATGAAATTAAAACACAGTGCCATGTTTTAGAAGTATAAATTTCCAACAATTAAAATTAAAGTAATTATTTTAGATGACTTTAATTGTAGCGCATGAAATAATTTCTAGCTCGCAAATTAAATGCGTGTGCAAAATCGGAATAACATTTACCGTAATGCAGTTTAATAAAGCTATTTTAAAGTCGTTCTGTTAGATTAATTTTGATGATTAGTTTTTTTTATTTACACCCTACCATAGGAATAATAATCACTTCCTCACCATGTACTCAGAGGCATAGTGGTGTGTGTTAAAATTCCCTTTTCACTAACACTATTTTTTTGTCGAATTGATCTTAATTAACACGTGCAGTTGATTGTATAAGCTGTGGTACAATTGTCGATTTAATTAAAACTGTTACTCGGATTACTGCATTTTTGGGAGCAGTATTTTCGAATAGTTCTACCAAAGTAAGGTTCCTGTCCCACATTCTTGGTGTAAAGGAGTTCCATTTTTTATATTTTCTTATGTTGTCGCAGGGAGTGTAAACATGACTGTCCTGACTAGGTAGAGGGCAGTGATATCCCGGACTTCCGTGTTTACTAAGAGGGTACACTAATTGCTTCATCAAATATTGCTTGAGTTCCGTGTTTCGATTGGTTGATGGTGATAAGACTTCGTAGGTCCTGAAAAAAATTCTAAACGGTGCTAGCGATGCGGACTTTAAAAATTTTGGTCCTTTTTGTCTTCTGAACTATTTTTAAAATTTTTATGTACAAAATTCTTTACCCTCTGTTAGTTTACAAATGGCTGTGTACAAAGGTTACAAAGGTGGTCCTGTCGGTTATGGTGATCCAGATGATAAAACAATAGCTGACACGGAGCGCGGCACCCTCTTTTCAAAGTTTGTCCAGGAACGTCTCATGTTCGATCTCTGTGAGAAGGAGTGGCGTCACTGGAGAACCTGTATTCGCGCCCACAAGGACAGTTGGGTGCCATCGCGCAAGTGCAAAATGGAATTCGCCCTTGTAAACGACTGCCAGAACACGTAGGTTGATGAGACTTCGGTAGTGTATGGTGTAACTGCAAGTCGTTATCAGCGCCCAACTCACACGCTCTTGCGAAATTGTAATTTCGAGTCGGTGTGAACTAGTTTCAATATCGACTGCTATTTAATGTGAACTAGGCTTTCTTTCAAAGGGTAGTTATGTGAAATGTGTGCTCAGCACCTCTGCACCCTGTAGATTCCTAGTATTTCGAACTTGTTTTGAAGTGTCTGCACTAGTAGTTAGGAAGGGATGTTATCTCAGTGAATTTATCCCCTGGAATCAGTAAATAATTGTCCACTTTGTTCCTCGCTTTGCCAGTGTTTGAAAAGTGTAGATAAAGAGTTGGCATTTCGTATTTTTTTACTTTATGCCCTAAAATGTCCCGCTTTGATATGGTTTATAAATCATCTGACATAGTATATAAATCTTGTGTTAAAAATTGCAAGAATTTCTGAGCTCCCAAAATTCTCTTATAACTAAACTCACATCAAAATTTTTATTTCGAGAGGGAATTTTCGTGTTTTCGCCTCATAGGATTTTTATAATCGTTCCCGTAAACTTTGGCTGTGGGAGCAAAATCCTAAAACAGGGCTAGGCTTCTGTTTTATTTTAACCACTTGTTATAATGCGCTTCAATGTATTTTGAAGTATACTTCATTGGGAATATTTTAAATTAGTATAAAATATTTAATAATAACCAGCACTCTTGTTATTGCTCGCCAGGTTAGTACAGGACCCTGATCAGTTAAAGAAGTTTGAAGAAGAGTACCTTCAAAGACGCGCAGAATTCCGTCGAACAGGTGTCGGCTTCCAGTATCTCTCAAAAGAAAAGCTAAGGCAAGCAGCCCAAGAAATTGACACTGACATGTGAAATTCTTATGTTTTGGTTATTTTGGAATCCTTTATATAGGAATGTTATTTTCAAGCATCTGTTTTGTTCAATTTTACTTTAAATGGACGCTAAACCGAAGTTTCACGACTGTCAACCGAATCTCGGTTCGTGATGCCTTTAAATATTGGGATTCTAAGCTAATTTTGCGTGTGCACGTATAGTGGTTGTGTAATGTCCACAAATTCCTGCTGATATAAATGGCAATGATTATTAATTACCTTCACTAGACATGACCAGAGTTCAACAGCATATAATGATTGGTTTCTACAACCGCGTGGTGTGCCGTGACCTGCCTCTATCAATATTTCGACTACTAGGAGGGAAGTGTGTGCATTGGTCGAAGTCGGCATGTGGGGAATGGCTTTATAACATGGTATGGAAAACTGTCGCGAAATGCATTTCAGGATTTGCCGGGAAGCACGTGCCTCCGCTAATCCTTCCGGTAAATCCCATGTTCAGAATTCTGTGTTCTGTGGAAACCAAAAATACCAACCAATTATGGGGTCAGTCTTGTCAAACGGTGCCACTACTTTCCTTGGTTACTCATCATAGAATCTTGATAGGTAGTTTTGGTTAATCATCGGACACCTCGCGATTTTTTGGAAAGGACGGAAATTTAATTTTCGATGACCTTAGGAGTATTTGTTGGTGGGAATTTTTCCAAGCAGAGGTGTAAAGAGTAGTGTTGCACTTTGTTTTTGAAAAAAAAAGATTCCTTAGAATTCTAAGGATGTTTAGATTACATTTAGTTCCGAGGTAATGGTAGGAATCCGCATGAAGTTGGCTCCGGGCGACCGTAATGCATTGTCTGAACGCTATGGAGGGCTTTTCATTATTAATGCACTTCGATTTACGAATAGGAGCACTGTTTCGAAGTTTCAATCCGCACGGAGGGCAAGTTTAACTACTTATTGTATCAGAAACTTATCATGTGATACCGACGAATGCAGCATCGATGAACCAACCTCGAAACAAACGAAAAATTGTTGACCCGCCACACTTTTTGCTGGGGGGCATCCTAACTTGTTGGAGATTAGAATAGGCGCAATGCAAGACACGGGGTTCCTTTCATCGAGTAATAAGCTATGCTCCTTTACGCCACCAGCAAAGTTGAGGTCGCAGTTTTGTTGTGCTTCACAAAAGTACTTTACTGACAGCATAAGTGAGCGTGCAGTTGGTGACTAAAATACAGGGCTGGGGAAAAGTTGTCAGTCAAAAGGCATTGTCTGAATGGTCAGATTAATAAGCGTTCAGATTGTGCGTAGTTAAATCTAACTCACGTAAGATAGCATCATGTAATATTCAATTGGAATAGTTACCTGAAATACCCGCAGCGTTCCATGAAGAGCGCAGTAGTACACAATTTGACTCAGGTCCTCATTTTATCATTGTGCGAAAAACTTTATGCATCAAGTAACTGAATAGCCCTGGGTCATTTTAGCGCAGCACACCCGAATAATGTTCTCGGGGTAAATGCCATTCTTCGTAGAGAATCGCTGAGATATCGGGAGGCTTCGTCACAGTGGTCATGATCATCATTAATCAGTGAGTGGAGCAGTTATGAGTGAAACAACCGCAATCGGATATTGCACCACACTTTCTAATTGGTCTTTGAGAGATGCAAAGTTCTAGAAAAGTGCATCTAGTGGATTTTTATTGGCTACGAACAAGGGCGACCTATACAATCCAACTGTTTTCAAATTATGCACAAAATTTTGTCATTCAAGCCTGGGATAGTCTTCCCTCGAACCTGTTGAATGGTACTGGACGTCGTGTCCAATTTCTCCCGAGATCCAAGACGTATCTTGCTCTCATTGTCTGCTCGGCAAAGTGGTTTTACAATGAATACGCGTTTTAGGTGTTGATTGTTGATTTTTTGTCTGTGGCATTCCTGGGATCCGGTTTTCCATCTTAACTAAAAGCATTATTGCCCATTTCTGACATGCTGGTCAATCAAAATGATTCCAGTAAGATGTGTTTTAATTAACCTCTTCAACTGGCAATACCCGCCAATTCGCCGACTAACCGTCTGATTGTCTAAACATCTGCTAGTGAACGTAATAAGAGACCACACACTATTGACTTCACCTGTACTTTGTGGAACTACCTGTAAGGTTAACTAGACAGAGGACTTTTGGATGGAAATTGCATATAAAGGAGGCCTTAGACAACAGAATGCGTACTTCACGTGTGGTGACTGCCGTCCATGGCCGACAATGTGATTAGACACATCCATATCTGCCTTTTCACTGGATTTCGAATGAACTGATTTGGAAGTAATTGGGTCATAGTGTGCAAGGGGTGCGCTTAAGTACACGAAGGAAATGACCGTTGATTACAAGAACCGAGTCAACTGCAGAACATAATTAGAGGGTTCTAGTGCCAGTGACAATCGAGAAGTGCAAATGAAGGAGAGTAAGCAAAGAAAAAACTCGACTCCAACTCTTAGATTAGTTTAACCTCACATTAAACGAACTGAAGCAGAAGTGTCAGTTTGTCCAGTCTTGGAGTGACAGGGGAATTTAAAAATAAATAATAAGCTTAAGCACCTTTTCATTCATCGATTCTGCGATCTTGTACCGAGGAAGTTGAAATCAGTATTGCCAAGGTGGCTCTCGTTTAGTTATGTGTATTCATCGCATGTTCTGGTGATTCGTTTTTAGTGATAAAGTGGATTCATGTTTTTCGGGTTACTTCTGCAGAATTTTGTACACCGGCAAAGGTGGGATTTGCCGTCTTACGGGAATATGATGGGAGTCAGTAATGTGAGGCCTGCGTGGTAACTGCTACCAAAAAATCGCATTCGAACAGGACTCCCTATTTAACCAGCTGGGTTAGGACACATGAAGCGCTTCCTATAAACGGCAAGCCACAAGCTGCTCCTCCGAGACAGCCAGATCGCAACTAGCCCTAGCCCACTAACTCCTGAAAGACTATTATGATAAACGCACACAGGGTACCCCAGTGGAGAAAGGTGACCATAATCTGGCTGGCTGCACCTAATCGTGTCGCTCATCCATTAATCTGGAGCGAACAGCGCCATGTCTACATGATAAGTAAAAATAATGGTTAATATCCAAATGAAGGGAAAGTTCTGTTTGTTTTGAGATGACTCTATTGTTTACATCTCATACAACTAACGGTTAGAACCTCGATGCCAAACTGTTGACCTGTGACATTGCAGGAATTCTGGCAGTACCTTTCGCGAGGAGTCCTGTACTTGTGCTGCCGTTCAAATTTCCCATCGTTTCTCTCCGGTTCCCTTTCCTTAAAAGCATTGTAAAAATAAAAGCAAAAACCTACCGGCTCCATTATGACAGATTGATCATACATCCAAGCTAAGCCCAAACTACCGGTGCTCGATTACTGTGCAAAGTAAAGGATATACAGAAGAAGTAGAAGCAATGACAATTGTTGGTACCTTCATTATTACCCTCTCTTTCATCCAGCAAAAAGCTTATAGAGTGCGAATGGTTTTCGATTTTGCAGCCAAGTTCTGTGGACCTTCCCAAACGAACGATTTGTATCGCGACACGATTTAGAGAACTCACTTGTAGCAGTACTAGTAAGATTCTGGCAGGAAAAGGTAATCGGCATGGCTGATCTTGAAACCATGTTTCACCAAGTGCGTGTACCAAACGAAAACCAAGACGTTTCAGGGTTTTGTGGTGACCTAACGGTGAACTATCGCAACCATTAAGTGAATGTCGCATGACAGTTTATCTGATTGGAGACACCTCTTCTCCAGGCTGTGCTTTGTTAAACGAAAGGCTGATTGCAAATAATTACGATAAAGATGAAGTCGAAAATGCGGGTCGATGTCTGTGTGGATGACTGCTTCCTAAGTGTCAAAAATGAAGCTGAAGCAACACGGCTTTCCATATTGTTGAAGGCGATACAAAAAGGAGGGGATTTTAACTTGAAAAAGTGGAAAGGTAGCAACTCCGCGGTAATAGAATCAATGGCTGAATCAGATAGACTGTCACCAAACTCAATCAGGGCTAATGGCGTTAGGAGTAGGCTGGGATGTGAATTCAAATGAGTGTCGTGTAGCTGGCGTCCAATGGCAAAGTCTCCTACCGCAATGGGCCTCTGTTCTAACGTTCCGCCTGTCTATCCTTTGTCAGGGGTTTAACGAAACGAGGTTCTACATGACCTATGTCTGATTATTTTAAAACGGGATGAGAAATTGCAGGGGAGGAGCTTATTGCGTGAATTAAATGGCTGGACGCAGACGCTCGTCAGCGTTTTCTTAGTAAGGTTTTATAGCAAGGGGCATTAATTGAGGGCAACAAATTAGACAGGCAAGAAGTTAGAAGTGTCAGTGTAATAACAAAATGACACACGTGACTTCACCATTAAAATAGGGCAGCAGTGGACAATAAACCCAAAGGACTATGTCAAACTATAAGAGGGCCAAAATAATTGATTTTACAGCCGTTATTTTTAAAAAAAATCGTTATTACCAAAATTTGTCCGCATATTAAAAGCATTCCAAACAAGCCTCGACCATTTCCTACTTTTGTCAACATGTTTAGTCGTTGGCCAATTATTTTGTTCCAAATGGATTTGGCGTTAGATAATTGTTAGCAAACTAGATAAGACAGGATTTTTACCCTTTAGGCTAACATTCTCAGGTAAGCCCTAACAGTCCTTAGTAAACGTCTCTACCAATCGAATTTTAGCCTCCTACGTTTCAGCCATTTTTGATGATGTGTGCCTTTTTTAGCCACAACTATTCAGAGTCTTAGCTGATCATGGGATATGACTGACCAAAACCAGAAATATTAAACCTGTGATTTAGATTTACTTATGTTTGGGTTCTCATGGGCACAATACACTGCCGCCACCTAATTCCAGCACTCGTACCACTCACTTCTAGGCCTGGGTATCTTATCGGGTTTCAGCATAACCTAACCCGACTTAAAAAGACTCACTAAATGCAAACCACTGATAACTCCAGCGTCTAAACTCAGTTTTGTATTTAGTAGTTAATACCTGTAATGCCATATCTGATCATGTCGGAGTAACATTTAACGCCTTTTTGTAATCAAAGTTAATGCTAATATTGGTAATTCTTGCAGACTATCACGGGGAACGTGAGTCCACAGATAGATGTGTTCACACCCACTATACCGGATTCGGGTGTCGTCATATGATTGCCTTGGGACGAAGTGACTTTGTAAGTGTTTTGCCAGCGTTTTCAAATTATATAACTGACGGTGTTACAATAAACCCTCTTGATCATACACGAGGTATGGAAGTTAAACATTGATTATTTGTGAAAGCAATTTTAAATAGGCCACTAATTACCGACTGAAAATAGCAAAAGCGGGGTCATCCATACCGGTTGGGTTTTTGAACTGGCAGTATATTGGCGTAAATTTCGAACTTTTGAGGATGAGTAACGTTGGGCGTCTTTAATCACTCTGATAAATAAACTGTATTGCAGCACTTTAAAAGTAAACAAAACTAAAAAAATTGTACTTGGTTAAGAAAATGGGGATTTTTGTTCCAGTATCAGAGGGGAAAATGCCATTAGGCTACGAAACATTTGCCAATCGGGTTCTGCTTAGTAATCGAGAAAAGTAATTGATTTATAAAATTCATCATGCAAATGACTAGTACCTAAAGTATAAACAAAGAGCACGCCCATCTTACGTGTGAGTGTCGAGGGATAGAGGGGACAATGTTTATTGCTGACAGATGTGCAATACAACCTGGGTAAATACGAGTTTTATTTAGTTTTATTGAGGCTATCCCGATCTCGTGTTGGTTTGTATGCTGTTCAACAGTAGAGATAGGCGACACATGATCGGATTAACTCTTAGGCACTGGCGCGCTATCCAATCCCATGACGGCTCCACAATACCGGAATTCACCGCCACGCCATCATGATGGGGACTAGGAACTTGATTAACCATCAGCGGTTGGACAATGCACAACTTTGGAACGATCGCGCGTTCCAGCATTCACCCTATGAGCGACGAATCGATACATTATGGGATGTAAATGCAAGTTTTGTGTGTCATGTAACACTGAGGCTCCAAGTGGACATGCGGACACATGAATCTGATGCATAAATGTGTCCAAGTATCTTAAAAAAATATCACCATTGCTGCCTTGTTGTGACGTTTTGTGAATTTGCGTCCTTTCAACTAGAGTTTGTAAAAGAAATTAGTCCATACGGTCTGATGTTCATAGTTTTCATATTCGACTTAATACTTATGTCGTACATAAACTGGAAACTAGTCACTTCTGTTTTCGATGAGAGAAGCGTCTTCCAAATACAAACACAAATTGTAAACCACATTCCAAAAAATCACCGTTTGAAGGCACCGCGGCACCCGACTGAACGATATTCACACAAACGCACATTACAAAGCAATGTCCATCACCACATCGACTTTAGACTCAAATGTATGCGTGGTTAAATGGATATCGAGGTGAAATGTGGTCTGGATAGCTTTCCAGCGATTGCCGTTGTGTAACCGCGTCAATTTTACAGAGTGAGTATCCTCCTCAGTTGGAGGCTGGATACTACGCGCATCTAGACATAACGCACTACGCCGTTACTAAATGCACAACATTCCACGAAAGCCTAAACATCAGCAGCACTAGTTCTATAAAAGTTAGGTTTGCCGAGATTCAAACGAAACAGAACATATTTACAAGCGATGTCTTAAGTTTTAATGCGTGGTTTAGTTGTTTGAAAGCCACAATCGACACGTCTACTTCTGATTCAGCTTGCCTTATTTGAGCATAAAGAGCACAATGAAGACAGGCTGGTGAATGAATGCTTTTCGTGTCTAAAAATTGCACCAAAGCCCCACACTTTCAATAAAAGAATAATTAAATTAGGGTATAGCATTTGCGAATACCCTACAGATTAGAAAATAGCAAGAGAGCTATCACAAGGAAACGAATGATGAGGTACCTATTTCAGTAGCAATAGTCTAGGGAGGGGCTTTTTGCAATTTTCTACTTATCTGTTTTTCCTTTTTTGGTCGTGTCGCAGCTCATCAGTGAGACATATTAATAAAAGCACGAGACACACCACTATTGACTGAAGGTGGTCAAGGATGCCACTCTGGAAATAGTAGTTCGTGCCCTTGAAAGCCGACTCTTTTCGGTGGCATATCGAAAACTGACAAGGGCAATTTTCGAAGCTAAGAGCCAACGACACTCGGATGAAAGGTTCCAGTAAACCACGATGCGGCTTCCGAGGTCTTTTAAATTAGGTGATCCAGGACTTGCAACTGAAAAGGAAAACGCCTTCTATTGCCGATTCAGAGGTTTGAGGGGTCACGGCGTAAGTTGGATCGGGAATGGTAACGCCTAGAAAAAGCCAACAGATCTTGCTTATTTTAAAACCCCGACGTGGTACTCAAAAGTGATAATAACAAGTTCTGACCTCGCTTCCTACCAATGCGTTCTTAGGCCGCAGTTTAAAATTCGATTTGACATCGCGGGTTGCCAAAATTACGTGGAAACTATATAGGATCGAACAAAAAGTTGTCAGGTAACCTGACACATCAAAGTAATTCCACGCACATTTTTGAGGGTTTTGGAACGCACGCATGAGGGTCCATCCACCCCTGAGTTTGAAAGTGACCAAACAAGAATTTCGGCATGAGGGAAATAACCACAGGACCGTGATGCAAACCGATGCACTGAATGTCTTGCTTGGTTTTGTCCAGAAAGCTTGGCTCAAAACTGGTTAAAAATGTAAACGACTACTTATTTTCATTTAAACACCAAACGTTATCGTGGGCAACGGTATAGAAGAAGGTTTGTGGTGAGCAGCATGCACGTTGACATCGTTTCTTCCAATAAATAATATGGACACAACAGATTTTTTCGTTATACAGAGAACAAGGTCGGAGAGACATGGCTGTCAAAGGGATAATAGCGTGGTCAGACGTAGGTGAAGAGAAAGGAGGTTAAGAAGGTGGGGGGGGGGGGCATGGAGGCGCTGAGCTAGTTGTCTTTCCGGAAATGGTCGATGCATAACGTAAATAATTCAGGCCAGGAATGCAGAAATGTGAAATAAATGGTCGGTAGAAGTGGCCGGCGGCTAAGGAGCAGGTATTTGATTAGGCGGTGACGATCGATGTTCTGCGGCGGACTGATCCGTACCTCCACTTGGTTGAACCTCTATTTCGTTAATAGACGCGGGCATCGGCGTTGACGGTTGTTCTGCGGCCTCGGTCCTGGAAAATAGAATACACGCTTTACCTCTGACCCTCAGTGCCCTGGATGATGCCTCCACAGTGTTCTTAGAATAACCCTGGATCCTTGCTCAGAGACCGGGGTTACAAGAACCCGTCCTACAATACGCAGGCTGGAGCTGACACCTCGGAAACAACGGTTTAACATTGAGTGACTTAAAGATTGCAAGGTTTAGGAGTGAAGCAAATGCTCATCTGTCGGACAAGGATCAAAGAGCAGGATTAGGGGGATGCAGAGATTACGTGCGCCGACAAGCTCGTACAGTAAATGCGAGAGGTGACACAGACATTGCCCTCGTAAAGTTTCACAGATCACGTGCACAATGCTCGCCTTCATAGTCATTGTCGATAAGGTGTATTTCCAGGAAAAAAGTCACTCCACTATAACTTTTTACGAAAAGTTAAAAATCCGGCAGTGATTGAGCTCAGACTAGAAACTATGTGGAGGATAGACAGACACCTTCTCGAAGTTTAATCCCTAAAAAAGGCAATGCGAAAAATAACATGAGCCAGTTGTGTTCGTTAGGTGCTCGGCTTGCCTACTCGCTCAATTGAGGTCTCCATGCAGTACTATGTTGAGGCGGACAAACAAATCCATCACATTGCCCTTGACTAGTTAGTCAGGACCTTTGCATAAATCCGTGAATTTGTAAGATGACATAATAGTCTTTTAGTGCTTAAAAATTCAGTTTCATCAAAAAAAACTGTTCAAACGGAAACATTGTGAATCGGGCGTCTTGTGTTTCTGAATCATTTAAGATCCACGGGAACTGGATCCCGCCAGTTTGTTTTGTCCAAGATTGAGGGAAACACAAAGCAATTCCTGTTGCACCGATGAAGGTGTGAAACACAAGGTAAGCGATTGCTCTGAGTTGCCACACACACACGATGCCTTGGAGAGCTTTGTATCAAAAACTGCTGACTTCACAAAACCATGCACAAACAAGTGGCAACATTAACAAAAGAGAGGCGCCTCCAGTCGAAACTATATTGTGTTGTGAAAAAAAACTTGTGCGGTCTGTTTTATTTTTATCAATCCAACCACCCGGATAGTAGTTGTGTTTGAACTTGGACCGATCAATGCAGGTCCAAGACAGTCGGTTTGGATGGGACCGAAGCAGTCTTTAGCTGGACAGACATTCAGCGCGGCATTGTCTGAGGAAGAAGACGGCTTAGCTCTCGTGGAACAAGGGCTCCTGCGTCACGGTAAATGTGGATTTTTCACAGGAAAGCGCAAACCCCACTAGGTTATCTCCTCTAGCCTAGGAATCCACAATTGAATAGCACTGCTCCCACCTTAAGTGTGGAACAATATGCCGCAAACACGTGTGGTTGTCACGTGATTGGCTTAGCAGAAAGCCCACGTAATGATGCCGACATGACTTCTAATTTCAGTGGCCTGAATACGCCATTGTAGCCCTGAACAAGGTGAACACAATGGTAGACAACCGCTAGTCTAAAATACAATCGGATGTTATTATCTGGGCAGAAAGAAGAGTCAAACCGACGAATTAGAAATCAGAAGTATCAGCTCAAGCCTAGTAGATATTTGTGAGACAACGAAGACAGCTACAGTAACAGAATCTCATGCAATTAAATATTAACATTTAAACAATGGAAGAAGGATGATACGTGGATTAAGGTAGCAAGCGAAAAAAAAACATAATTAGACAACAACAAAACAAGCATAAACAACCAAATTTAACAAGTCTAGGGATTTTGAATGCAGATACATTATATAAACCCAGGACATGGCATCGTTAAAAGTACCGACGGAACGTGGGGCTGCAAGTGGACTGTGATAGCATAAATGAAAGTTTATGCCTTAAGGGGCAACAATCACATAAAAACAAGTGCGACTTGGTGTTTAAACCCCACAACGAAATATTCGAAAAGAAGCATTTGCGGATTGTTTAATTGACAACTTCATTTTTGCGTTGTTGCATGTACACTTGACGCCTTTCTACCTCCTTTTCTCATCTCCAGAATGCTCTGTGCTACTAACACGCAATTAAAGTACCTGCTTCTGGAAGATGCACGAAGGAGAAAAGTTGGAAAAAACTTCGGAGTTTCTGGGGCTACCAACGTAAAGACCTTCCAAGTTAACAGATAAAGCCGTCATGGCAATCAAACTTTGGGAGCCTTAACATAGACAATAATTCATATGAACAGTTGTCATATGGCACATTAAGAGGGGTCGTTAGAAATGATAATTTACTTTGAGGGCTAATTCATGCTTAGGGAAATAACACACCCCCACCAAGATCGCTTTGATAGACAATAAAGTAGGAAAAATTAGAAAATATCCGCTACTTCTTGATTACCTTGATGCTACTCGAAAATCGGGAACAATCAGCCTGTCAGTTCTTGAAGGCCTGAAGCATTGTGCTTTGGTTATGGTGACCAACAAACAGGCAATCGGATACATAGAGATTTAATTAATTTCGACGTGTGGCATACGCAGATGATTTTGAATTTAAAACGTCCTGAAATTAGCGTACCTCGATACATTTGTATAACTCTCGAACCCAGCTATAGCAGGTTAGCCGACTTAGAGGCGGCGGCACAAGACCATCAAACCAGCCAGATAAATAATAACAAGATAACGGGCAAGCCAATTTTCAAGCCAATCACGAGACAGCTTTGGGGAATTCCGCAGGATAACTTCATCCCACACACTCTACGCCCCCGATTTAGTTTCTGCTTTTCTAATTTCTTTTCCAAAAATGAAGAGTAGGATAGACACCCTATTTTGATTGGATTTGCTCCAAACGATACGGTTTCGTACAACAAAGATCACGAAACGTGGCGAAAACGGATTAAAATATTGAATGTAAAACGTCGCAATGAAGAAAATTGCAGCAATTTACATCGTTTGTTATTTTCTCAGCCCACTTAATAATGTAGAGAACACAAACCCTTTTGAAACAAAGTTGTAAAAGGGCATCAGGGAAGCATCAAACATGATTGCCAAATTACTTGAGCATGTCATGTCAGATAAACTAAATTCCCAATCTATTCCCTGAATGACCGAAAGCGAATTTTGTCTGTTGCAAGATTAAAGAAAGAGCTCGTTTGCGAGAACGGAAACGGCCAATCAATAAGACACCTGAAATTGTTAAGTGAGGGAACCAATCAGATTAACGGAGTAAAAAGGAGGCCATGAAATAACAGTCAGCCAGCGAGTACGACAGTGAGACGACATGTAGACACACGAAAACTTACTTTCCGCCAAAAATATACCCTAGATAATTTAAAACAACAGCACACCTAATATAGCAGAGCAAGGAGACTTGCAGATTAGAAAACACGTTTAGGGGTTTGGACAAGGTCGTAGAAGTTTACGCAGGATGCAAGCTTTCATTCACTCCAACCAGATGTCGGTTAGCATAGTAGTCTGAGTAAATTAATGTCGTTTCACACGATTTGTGGTCTGAGGCATGACACCTAAATAGGAAGTCTAGTTATTCAGATCGACGTGAATACAATGACTAGTAAAACGCTTTTAACTTCTGCTTAAATTGACTTTGTCGAACGTAACATTAAGTGACTGAAACGGGTTTTGGGAATTTAATAGCCATCAACCTTTGAAGACGGCACCGACGCCTGAGACTTTAAACCTAACTAACATTGTACACGCTATGTGTCAATAATGGCAGCTTTATCAGTGGATCGAAGAGCACTTGGTGATCTCCTTACCACGGGAATGTATTTCCCCAAATTAGCAGGGTACACACCAATTGTCGTTTAGAACCATCCGAAAAACTTAAACCAATGCTTATTACGATGGGCAAACACTGGGTACGGCAAGCAGCCGAATCGCACAAAATTTAAAAGAAAACCAGTTCTAATCGGAGAGCAGACGAAGCACCTGTCGTCAGCGACGATGGCGGTTGGCAAGTATGGTAAAGAGCGTAAGCACCATGACGAAAAATCACAAACAGAACAGCACTTCGCTTGTGCTCTTGGCTCGCTGGATTTAACTCGTTTAAAGCTTCCTCTGGTTTACAACTTCATTCACTACAGGTCTAATCGATTGACGGACTATTCCACGCTCCTAAGCCAACGCAATAACGTCCGGCGAAGACGACAAATGTGAAACATATTTCAACTTTCTGATAATTTTTGAACCAATAATGATCCCTTTTTCCACTGTCCAAAAGAGCCCATTCTTGTGCTTGCATGCCAACTGCATTAACAGGAGTGTTCTAAAATGCACGTCAATAAGATAAATGGAAGAGATTCGAACCAAAACGCTGCGTCACAACTGAAGCTCAGAGTATCGAAAAATTGTTAGAGTCGTTTAATGAAGAACCGATGCGGTAAGTCGCCTTGACAGGAAAATTAATCTACTGCTCATGAAAACGTTGGTTAATTCCTACGAAAATGCAAAATAATTTAAAACAAGTCCGCTAGGGTAGTAGCCAATCTATTGAAAAGACTCATCTTTAGTTTGAAGAATTCGACCTTGATATGTGGAACTCTTAGAGGAATTTTTTGCAATTGACAGCTATCCAATCCCCAGGAACTACAAATTGCCACCTTCAACACTGCCAGATTTCTGAGGATTGTTGGAAGAAAAAACAACCGATACGAAATTAGAGGTCGCGAACTATGGCAAAGCTGTGAATATGAAGCCCTTCAATAGTATACACGGCAGATATGAAACGTGTTACCGTCGGCATGAACCGGTAGCTTTATTTATCTCAAACTTGTAAAGTTCTTCTCGAAAATTCAAGCAGTTTAAATTAGGTAAATTAATAGAAGTTGGAACCCGTGATGAGAGATTTTATCTTACGCCTTTACTCGTACATTCCATGTTTACTATAAATCTGAGAAATTGACTGAAATGAATATAATTTAGCCAAAGCCTTAGATGCATGTTAGGATAATTAGGAATAGGACACTATCAAATCAGCCAACATTGTAAAAATCAATCACAGAATTAATCGCGTCGAAAGCAATTTGTGCAAAACATGAATTAATGTAGCGAAAGATTGGGTTATTAAGGCAAAAATTAAACTCACAGCCAAGAGCGATGACAAGAATAAGACCGACAATGCCCAAAGCAAGTGTCATCTAGAAAATCAAACGTAAAACGATTCTGATAAAAAAAAATTGCGCAATCAAAGTAGTCAGAATATTAAATTTTACGTGTTGAGAGTCTTGAAGGTATGCAACTAATTAATCGTTATCCAATCCATCATACGGAGGCACACACTTCACAACAGTCACAGGGTCAACAGAAAATGGAAACAGGTAAAATTTTATGAGAGATTCTCAATTTTAAAGCCAGCCAGTCGAAGTTAATCGTGTAAAACTGACTAGAAACAAAGTTATATTGAAAGGAAAGAACCGTCTTTAATTTTACTAACAAGTAGACTAAGATTACCGCGAATAGCTGACTTCATACATTAAGATCTTTTATAGTTTTTGTGTAAGCGATTTACTTTGCCCCTACATTAGAAGCAATGGCGGATCTGGAAGACGTCAAATGCTGCAGATAATTAGCTTTACCGTCAAAGACGCTTAAAGATAAAAAAATCATAATAGGGGACTAACCTTCATATTTTTCCACCAATATTTGTTTTTGAGCTTTCCAGCGCTTGCCTCAAATTGAGACGCTCCTGCCTGGAGGGCATCTTTGAAAGAAAAGGAAAAACGAGGATAAAAAATTATTAATTTAACTCGATGCAAAGGCTAACTCGCCTTCAAAGAATAATAGTACACTTGACATGAGATTAGTGAGAAAAATTATTTGCACTCAGTGTTACTAAAATTTGGGCCATGTGATCTTGATACAGTTTAAACGATTAGGATATCCTTTTTTATCGGCTAATGCAAACAGGAGGATGCCAAATAGGTATAACGAAGTCTAGGCAAATGTAAAATACTATAAAAGTGACAACTACAGTTTTTTTCCCGGAATATAAGCATAAAGCACCAATGTGCTAACAAAATTAAAATCAATTTAAGAGAACAGAAATTGAGATCAACTTTTGAAGCAGCTGGGCGTGGGAATGAATACAGGGGTTAGAGAAATTACTACGTGCAGACAAGAAGGGTTCGAAGATTGCAATCAAACCTTGGTTTTTAATATTTTGCTAAACAACTCATGATCAAGGTAAGCAAATTAACAGGAAAAAGGTTCAGAAGCAAATTTATTAAATTAACAAATTACATTTTCGTTCAATTGCACATTACAATTAATGACAATGTTTTTAGGAAATGCTCACCTGCTCGATCGTCTAGTTGCGCGAGTTTTGCATCCCTTTCGAGTACCTTCTCCATGTTTACACGCATAATATCAACAACTTCATTAACTTGAGCCTGGGTCTGCTGGAATCTTTTATTAGTTGGTGGTGGTCTGGCTGCTTCAGTGGGTGCAGTCACATCAGAACTGGGTTCCCTTTAAAAGGTAAAGAATAATTAAACGGAATTAAAACGAATGCAAAAACAATAGGATGTGACATTGTAGATGTTTAGACATATGAATTATTTTAAAAAAAGTCTAGCTTGGAAAAAAATCTAAACTTTAGCAAATGATTATGAAATTGTTCCATTACTAAGGTGCAATTCAAAAAACAACCTCAAAGGTCGATCAACAAATCGAGCTTACATTGTTAACTGGAGCGTCAAGATTAGAGGAATCAAATGCTTCGATAATGGCCGAGATTAAAAATCAACAAACGCCATTCAATTGACCGCAGTGCATTTCAACAAAAGCTCTGCGAGGATAGTAAAACCAGCCTAAAGGATCACCACATAATGCTTTAGCAAAGTAAATAGGGTTTAAAAGTTATTGACTACGTATATTGGTGTAAAACTGCAATATTAAAGTTTTCGCAAATTAAATCACGTTTTGTCTTATTCATATTGCATTATCTGAAATTAAATTGAAATATCAGCCAAATTTGGGTCGTATTATCTGATTTTAAACGTCTCTTATTTCATTAAATAAATTATTCTGCAGATTACAATATTTTAACCAGAATATTAGTTGTTAACACTACATTGGAAAATTATGTGACACTCGTTTTACTCTTACGATTATAACCTACTGGCATTTTACCGTCTAGTTAAATTCATTTACGTGAAATATCCTGAGTCATATTATGATTGTCTGACAATATATAACATGAAATCCAACTCTTAGGATGGCGCTTTATTTACGTATATCAAATCACTATCTTTAGCTTTGTATATCCTCATTTTTTTGCGAAAATTTTACAATAAAAACTAAAAAATTGACATTCTCGACTGGAAATGTGTTTAAGTCTCTCCGCTTCTGCTAATGGAGTTCAATGTCCTACTAAGTTCTTGTATTTAGAACTTAATGATGGCTAAATTTAAGATCAAGACATCATTTTATTGGAGATAATTGCATTAATTGTGTTTCATTCGCTTTATACTTAGGAAGTAATAAAAAATGACTAAGTCTGGCACAAATAGTTTCCGGTATCTCTTTTAACTTCTGTTTGCTTAATTTTTAGAAACGTTGAGTGTAAGTTAATCTCGGATTACCAAAACTTTTTAACATCGTTAGTAATCAAAACGTACCTACTGAGTTTGAGATTTATATCCCTTCTTTTCCTTCAAACATAGTAATTTTCCTACTGAATGTTGATTTTTTCAGTCAGGTTGCTAAGACCTTAGAGATGCCGTAGTTCAGATACCTAAAGCATAAGTTGTTCGTCCCCAACCTAGTGGTTGACTATCTTGTAAATTGCTCATCGGGTAGCTGCAGGAAATTTTTTGAGTGGTGCAATTTGTATAAAACTACTTCAAATTAAAATTAAAGACCAGGGTACCCAAGCATATATTAATTGGGACTATCTGTCTGTCTAGGTTTATGATACAACGTTCATATATGTCGAAGTACTTAAGTCACACGTGGTGTGGTATCCAATAGCGGCTCAAATAGAATAACAGAGAGTCTCAAACCAAGATTTGAGAAAACGTAACGATTATCAGCACCATCTTACTGCAAAGTAGGAAGTGAAACCTCAAAAGAATTTTTATTAGTTCAATATCCTTTTCTCAACATTTTCCTCTGTACACAAATCAACCCCATAGAAATTTGGTCCATAGTAAAACTCAGTGATCCTGAATTTACGATTTATAAACTGACTAATACCACGATGGGAAAACAGATTTGAAAAGCATTGTCGATTCAACAAAAGTTTCTTTGATTTGACACAATAATATTCCCAGCAATAACATTTTGAAATTCTGTTACGTTTGCCCGTAACAATAGAGAAGACCACTTAAAAAGCGGTACCAGATCCCTTGCTGAAAGCTAGAACCGACCTTCCCAGGATAATACCAGAACAAGACCAGAGCTCGAGTGGAGAGCTTTATTCACGTGAGCCACGTGCAGGGAAGAAGTGAAATCGAAAATAATTCAAAAACTAATTCAAGTCAAGGTTGACCTTGACATTATAAAAGCGTAACAAAACAAATGTTAATAAATTAATGAAAATAAAATCAGAAACCAATCTTGGGAAATCGTGGATCCCCAACAAATTCCTCCGACAGCTATTTGGTATCTGTCAATGTTCGTTTGCGAATGTTCATAAATAACCCTAATTTTGACAAAGCTCCCATAGTTTAAACATCTTAGCAAACAAATTGTCGCAAATTTTTAGCCATTGAAAGAAGTTTCTTTACTTTTGTTTTGACTCAAGTTTATAGTTTCTGGAGTAATTCATTGTAATGTTTTCAAGAAAAATTGTGAACTGCTTTCCTGTTGCTGGTGCGATTCAAGAAGAACAATGACACCATGTTAGATGTCATTTATGGATTATACTTGTATTAATATAATTTTAATCATTATTATTTTTATTGAGTTAATATAATGGAGCTTGTTATTGCAAAACTGTAATTCTGTGTAATTGACAGAACATCCTAAAGTGATAGAAATGTCTAAATTACTTGGACCACGGTTGATTTGTTTAACGAAAGTGAAAATTATCTGTGATCACCTACTCTGATAACTTGCAGCTTTGATGAAATGTACAAACGACAGAAACTTGACTACAATTATCTTGATTTTTACAATTTTATTTTTTCGCTGTTATCTGTGGTTCATGAACATCAACTTTCCAATTCATATTCCCTCCTTCTTCGAATTGGTTCAAGCACCTTTGAATGTAGTATTCTCCTAATTCCACTCAAGGCCGCCAATGCCGTATAAAAAGCTGGAACATGTAGGCGTGCACTCTGCCTTGTGCTGGTAATGTAAATGCCCTCTCTTGTCTTGTTATTTTTTGGAAAGGGGGGGTGACTCATGTGTGCTCTGTGAGAGTGCTTGTGTAGGTGGCCGGTAGCTTGCCAACGAGAGAATCGGTTAATTTCACTCGGGCTCTTTTCGGTGTTCCGAAGCTGTAACACTCATTGTTCCTCTTCCCAAAGTGTCAGAATTGTTCTGATGTAGGATATCGATTTTTACACAGCACAATGTACGGGCTGTGTGTTGTTCATACAAATCCACGTGACTGATACTTTACAGAACCAAGTTAAGCTAACGCCTTTGATTTGCTTTTGATTTAAGTAGTTGAAACAGTAATTTGAAATTGTTTTCGTTGGCATTTAAATACTAAGAGATTGTAATGTTAAACTGAGCTCCAGATAGTTATATGAAGCAGAAGGCAGGAGTTTTGTAAGCTGGCGCCTACATTGTGAGTACGCTGTGCGTCGATGCTTAGATTAAAGACATTTTAAATCGTATCCTGAGAATCGACTCAATATGTAACTGTGCCTTCACTGATTTACGTGGAAGAGGACATTTCTATCAAAAAACTGCCTTAATTTTAAAATAAGTTTATTGTTATTATTTCATAACAGCAGTTGATATTTATCCTGCGACTATGAAAACTCTATTTATACTAGTAGAAAAGAAATGCTATTAGTTGTTTCCTCTCACACAAAAACACTCCTTTGTTAAACAGAGAGGAGTTCGTGCACCAAACTTTGGAGAAGAGCCTGCATTGTGTCGCCTTCAATCGTGTATTGCTTGCCGCCATCACGTCGGTTAGGTTTGTGAAAGTGACAGGAACACTGGGCGTCCGCAAAGAAATGCAAAAACCGCGACCAAGTGAGCTGATAGGCGTCAATGTAACTCCAGTGAAGTTGGTTGGCGAATCTCCTAACCGGCTCGTTTATGCATCTACTTCGGTTAAGATGCATTGTCTAAAACGGTTAAGATTTTAACTTATGTCTTATTACGCATAAACACAAAAAATTTAACTCATGTTGTTCAAACGGAAGGTGCTTTTGCCTGGTACGGCAACTGGTTCCGCGTAGTACGCGCCATTCTACAGGCCAAATTGTTCGGTTTCGATTCCTGTTGTACAGAGTCGTGTGCAGACCGCTGATTGGACGTTTTTGAAGCCATGAATTGCAAGGCAACTCGGAGGCGGAAGAGATTTCGTTATGCCTTCAAATCTGGCCACCAACACGACCGCGGTCTTTAGGCTCATCAATGCGGTGACAACTGCGCCTCCTCAAATTTGTTGTATTAGTATGAACCACACTTGACATTCCAATCAAACGACTTCCAACATTCTAAGAGGACTGTGATGGGGTAGATATGGCATGCCTATAAATACTGCAAATTCCTCAATACGCTAATGTGTTATTTTGAGGTTTATAACTGTAATCGTGACTGTCAGACAAAAGGAAGCTGCGTGAGGTAAATTAGATTTTAAGCTTCATAAATATTGTGGGTTGCCCTCAATATTTTGAAAATGACAACGCAGAATATTGATGGCGCTGCAAATTATGTGTAAATAGGAAGTAGACATCAGGTTCCACAATTTGCTTCCCCAGCCAAGATTTGGACGTCGGTTAAAGCCTGCGACCCACATGCAGTACTACCAAAATCCGATAGTGTCTTCTGAGCTTTCATTTTTTTCAGTGATGACTTCCGTTTTCAAGAACCATGGTTCACCCCGCCTTGCGCATTTAGCTGTTCTGCAAAAAAGGTCAACTTGCTTTTGCACAGAATGGCTGGATGTATTACAGAGGCCAAATAATTTCCAAGTATTCACAAGCACATGGTTGCTTTTTTACAATCCAATGTTATCGACGACTGAATGAGATAGTTCGACAGGGCATGTATGCCTACGGACTTAGCTTTTTTGTGAGCAGAAATCTGTCTTGGTTATTCAGTGTGCCACTATTCGACTATGCCTTTCTTAATGGTGTCAGTATTCAAAATGAATTAAATTACTGCATGTAGTTGTGAAGTATTTGCAGAGCACCTATACTGTCACCTAGGCATACTGCGCTAGTCCAATATTTTGTCCAGGTAATCATTAATTTGGCACAAATACTGAAATAAACTGGATGAATTTTTCAACATGTTTGGGAAAGTAATTTGGTTGTTTTTAGATGTTATTATCACGACTCAAACTATAAATACGATTGGATGCCTCTTTGACGTCGGAATGATCCCACAATATCATCTGGTTGCAGAAATTGGCGACTGAGCCCCCTCCAAAAGGGCAGCTTCAAAATGTCTCAGGGTATTGCCCATACAGCCTGAGACTGTCGTCGCCCCAGTAAATGCTCTCTTACTATGACCAACAGAAGGCCTTTTTCATAAGCTTTTGAACTTCAAGAATCTCTATGTGCGACGTCTACTGCATTAAATACTTTTTTCTTGTAGAACAGGAAACTGCTAGTCCTTTGCAACAATCCGCAGAAGACATCATAGAAACTTAAGGCCACTGTAATGGCGGGTCACCCCTTCCACCGTACTGTGCTGATAAAACCCAGCCAATTTTCGCTCGTGCAGACAGACGAGACTCGACAGGTAAATCTACGCGACTGATACTTAGTTCAAAAGTGGAAAGAGTCATTACTCGCGTTAGAGAAAATTACAAACCAATGGTTAAACTTGTACGAAATCCAAGTGCAAAGCATAACCCTTTGTCTACTTTATTGCAAATAGGAAAATCACAAATCAAGGCATCCGAGTCTACGTGCTTTTCCACTTCCTATGAGCTTGCTAGGACTCATGGAACATGAGTTGTCAATCTAAGAAAATGTGAACGGAACGTACTTTAGCGCACATTTTCACATTATCACAACCGTAGAAATTTTGGCGCAGACATTAGAAATGGCTCTTTTAGTAAACAAAACAGGTCTTGAAATGGTTTTTCCTGGTCTTTAATCCATTCTAGGCCCAAAAAAGACGCATCTTAACTTAATTCCTGCAGAAGTGTGTTTCGTCAGCGGTGTGTGGGGTGGTCGGAGGTCGCAACATTTCATCGATTTAAACGCCGTTGATGGGTCCCTTATTTTGGAGTTCGCTTAATAAAGAGCTGCAATTTTAAGGATTTGACGTGAATCTGACATGTGGACTGTTGTTTGAGTAATGCACTCATAAAGAGTAAATGTGGTCTATCAAAGCTGACTTTGCGGGGCCGTATCGACAAATATCTGAAACGACATTAAAAACGGCGCGAAATGCGGTCTAAGTTGTGGTGTAGACCTTAATTTGCCAAAGCAAGTCTGTAAAAACAACCTGTGGCGACCGGCAAGCCAACACAGTTGGCATTCGTGAGCGAACGCAAATCAATCGATTTTATTTTCGGGAATGCACTGCAGTGGACAGACAGCCACCACGCGTGAGTGCTGCGCGTATGCTTGCCCGACTGTATCAATGACTCACCCTCTTTGTTAATGGTCTTTGTTAGCAGTCGCCTGTAACGCATACGTATCGATACCCACACAAAAGTTGGTTACTCGGTTTTACTCGACTCGACCTGACTAGCGTGACGCGAATAAACAGTCGTGTTCTCTCTTCTCGGGTTGTGACCGGCTGTTATCCATAGGGTTTTGTGGCAGTGCTAATTTAGGCCCCTACAAACCTTCACAAGAGCTCGGTTGTCTGTTCGTTCGACGACCCTGAGGACGGGCTGTCATTCTGCTTCTGAGAGGGCCAAGGAAAGCCCTGCCAGTTGAAAGTTGTTCTAAGCCCTTTAATGCTCGAAGATTTAGGTTGCGAATTTCATCGTAGCAGTTCGCACCGCTAGCCGAAGACACTAGTTTAACTTGGACTTTAAGTGATTTGTTAAAGAAATTCTTGTGCTGTGGAATCCGCATGACTCTCTTGGTTTTTGTGGAACTTTGAAAAACCCTATTGAGAATTTGGAGAGGTTTAAAGTAGTAGCAGTCTTCAAGTTCCATTTAATTTGCATAAAAATGGTGTTGATTAACAAAACAGTTGGTTCGTGCCGCAAAAGGAGGTCGTTAAGTAGGAGGAAAACGCTAAAAGGTAATAAACCTTTTAACTCAGTTTTTTTTGCTGTGACTTTGACCTTTTTTACGAGGCGTTGGGATAGCGGCGTGACAGAAACAACATGGATCTACAAAGTAACAACTCACCAGATTAAAGTTGTGTGTCAGGTAGTTGGGAACGTGGAATCCAGCCTGGTGACTTTTGACGATTACCCTTCTTATCTTTTCGGTTCTAAAGGGTATTCGATCACAAACGTAGCCTACTTGTGTTGGGTTAGGTAATTATGCAATTGTTCCAAGTGTTTAGCATTTAGCCACTGGGTTCCACCCACGACCAGGGCTATGTTTTCCCGCTGCATCCTAGAAGCAAAAGTCTTTTATCACAGAATTTTAAGCATTTTAGACGTCAATGGGAAAAAGTCACACTTGTCTTTTTACCTGACTCGATTTACATAAAAACACTCCTTTTTTTGAGCTGGTAAAGCAATGTAAAAATTAACTCAATTATCTCCAAAACGTCAGTACGAAAACATCTCGAACCATTTTGCAAGCTCGTGGAAGCACACAAAATCAGGGTTGGTTTTTCAAATCGAAATGAATAAAATAGGCGCATGGAATGCCCGGGAACCAGAGACCACGACTTGACCTAATTATGGCCTAATTTGGTCATAATCAAGTGCACTACGTCGACCAGAACTTTTGCATTCTTTGGAGCTCTTTAAACTAATTCCGACGCTTGTTATTTTGCTAAGTAGTTTCTACAATACACTCTACATATTTATTGTTGAGTTTCTATAGCTTTCTTACCTTCATAAGAACGAAATATGAACCTTATCAAAGTTTCGTTATTTCACTTGACAAAAAATTGCGTGAAATGTGCTTTTAAAGTAAACTAAAGTGGCGTGTGTAACAAAACAACTTTATTTATGGAACCCGTAGTTACGCATTTGCCAAATTACATTCCTCATTTTTTAAATAACGGTTACTTGGCTGAGGAGGTCGGGGAATGCTTTTATAGGTAAAGTTAATGGGCTGGTTTCTAGGCCCTAAGGAGTCAGCAGTATCATTTGTGGTCCTGGATCTGCGGTTTATTCTCCCTCTCTGAGGAACTTTAGGGTACCTCTGATCAAAGCATTTCCGGTTGGGGAATTAAAAAGTACTTTTGGTGACATCTAAAAGAGGTTGGGAAAGTGAATCCACAGTTGTGGATCTCTCCGTTTTACACCCAAACCGCATGGATAGGTCAGGGAGTTGATAAACGACAACGTGGATTACTAGCACATCCCGCATCCGCTGCAATTACTGAGTTGCACGCCATGCTGGCATGATTTTGACTGTGCCGAGATGTTTTCCAAGCAGATCTACATGATTTTGCAAGTAGCCTTAGCTGGAAAAAAGGAACTAGGTCTCGGGATCTTGTCTAGTCACCTAAATTTGCCTCAGATTTTGACAGCTGATTAGCGTCTATTTTATAATTCGCGACACCAAACAGGCAAAAGGACATTTCAACATTAAAACAACTCTTACGAATTGATTGTATTGCAAAGGTGGTGATGTAACCCAAAGGGTGATTGATTTATGTTAATTGTCTGTGGCTAAATCCTGGAAGCAAATAATAACTATTGTTTTACAGTGTGGACATTTGATTTTTAGGAAAAACATTGGGCTATAATTCATTGAACGATCGGTTACTGTATCCAGGCTTACGCATTATCTTTGAATGTGTATGTCAACTTTGAATATCTTGCCATGCGACTCACCTGTCGACGGAATGCGAAATCACATCGATGAGATCCTGTTGTCTTTTGTCCTTACGCCAAAAGATAGGGAAATAGGCGAATCCGATAACTACTGATTTTGATGAAGCATTTCTTATTTCTTTGTGGTGGAAAAAGGCACCGTTTTTGGATTTAAAAAAGAGAAGATCATGCGATGCCTCCCAGAAATTGAGACTTCCATTGACCCTGCTTAGCAGGGCATACATGAGCCCCCGTAGCGTGGAGTCACCAACAAATAAAATCTGAAGTGCATTGGTAGATGTAAGACAACACAGAGATGATTTGCCAACATAGTGATGAACGAGTACTGATGTTACAATGCACTGGGAAATTCTTCAGTGCATTTTCCTAGGAATTCACCGGCAGCACTTATCTTTATACCTGGGACCGTGTGGTTCATGCCAATTCGTAAGTAGGAGTTCTACTTATGTTTAAGGAAGGCCACCCGAAGGAAATTCATCACCTTGACAGGTGTCTCGAATCAGCAATTTTTTTGTAATGTTTCTTGAAATTCTCTAATAAAATTTGGCAATCTACGGTTGACACGCGTCATCCATTTTATAACACCATTGCATGCTTACCCACCGATTTGTGTAAATCATCCAAGGGCAGCATCCCGTACTTGAATGAAATTTATTCACAAATCATGTTCAAAATACTAATTGGCGCCAGATGAATCACATAATAAAAAAACGTATCTCAAAGTTATGGTTCATCCAAATTCTTACCGATGAGGTGTTAAAATATGTTTTCAATCTCTGCCACGTCACATTAGGAATCGCTGTGCTGAACACACGCTCTAAAGATGATCCGTTTGGTTCCGAAAAATAACCACTGGAGGCCTCGATGTCCTCCGAATCCCAGTTGGCATCAAGTGAGAATTGAAAAAGCCTGGAGGAACCCCAAAAGCACCGATTTTCTCCGGAACACTCACCCTCACACGGCAACAACCACAACGGAAATACGTTCCCTATTAGCATTTCATAAATTGAGAGTGTGTTGACCTTGAGTTAGAGAACTTGTGGCATTTCTTTAAACTCTGGAAATTAAATCACCTTACCACTTAGACCAGCCGAGATCGAATTGAAGTTCGTCACTTCGGTGTCAACAAGTCCTTCAACAACATCCCAGGTGAGGTGACGATGAAAATTGTGAATTCCACAGGGAAGACTAACTGTGAGCCGAAAAGCACATGACTACAATTTACAAATTTGTACTTCAGTTCTCCAGTTCCTCCGCAATTATCAAAGGTGGGTGTCTTTCTTACCACAAACCTAGACTGTATGATTGAGATCAATAGTGCTCGGCTATCTTGCATTTGATTTAACTTTGTTCACCAATTTTGCATCCTCCTGCAGATGAGAATGACCTACCTCTGTTGGCTGTGATTTGCCAGGATTGTACATTGTGATCAGTTCAAACTGGTTCTTCCCACTAAGGTCCAAGAACGTCATTTTTTGCAGCATCAATGTTTAGTTTTGTCTCGCCAAATAGATTTTGCCAAAAATGATTTAATGTTTGAGCGAGCTTTTAATTTATGGCTGAATTCAACACTCTAGGCCAAAAGTAAACTCGCTCTCATTTTGCTTTCAGTAATATGGAACTTTTAAATGCTATGAGAGTGTGCTGCGCCCCAATCATTGCCAGATATTTACTATAACAACTAAACGCAAAGTTAGAAATAGCTTCAGATTGATCGAATCACAGAACAAAACCAAACTTGGGCACCATAGCGTTCCCTAACCGTTCACTTACTTCACATGCATACTAAACAATAACACTTCTAACGTTTGATTTAAAACCGCAGTTTCGGGTGTAGGAATGTTGTGAGGCATTGATATTAGTCAAGTTGATTCGTTGGTTTGCGTTGCTACTGATTTAGAAAAGGTGGAAATCTTCCTTTAGGTAAAAAAATCTTTGATCAAGGAAATTACCTTGATTTAGATTGTACTTGTTCTATGTCTTACCTGAAAGTAGGCACAGGTTTTTGTGTTGGATAAATCGGAAGTTAGCGTGGAAAGACGCCTATCGAAAGTGAGAAGCACAAAACAGTTGAAGTTATCACCTTTGCTTTTCCCACGGGATTCTACGAAAACAGGAAGCGACTTCAGTCTTCGGCAAACCGAGTACCGGAATCGTGTTCTACCTAGTCCAATGCTTACATTTACGCATGACCTGTAAATCAACATGAAATAAATTAAAATTACTCTAGAAAAATAAGCAGAGGTTCGACACGTACCCATGTTCTGGTGTCACCGAATCAGGACAACGTGCACCCTTTGGCGAAAGACACAAGTTGACGTAGACTACGTCTTCAGGTACGACAAAATTAGCTGGAGAAGTGAATTGAATTTTTGTTTCTAAAATAAAAGAATTTTTATCTGTTTTAGCCAAATCGTTTTTGGTTTATTTCGTAAATCTAAATAATTTTTCTTAACAGAATCGCGTCTCTGTGTGAGATCGCGCCGAATCGCAGAGTGATTGGGTTTGATGTTAAATTTTGTCCCCGGGTTAGAATATCTCAGGATGATTTAAGTGTTGCACTCTAGACATCGCAGTTGGAGAGAATCTTAAACGAATCTCACGCTCATGTTAGGTCATCCAAGCACTTTTTGTAAGTTGACCCTCAAACCACTCCAAATTATTGGTCCGTTGAAACAAACCTCCCAAAATACTTAGACTGGAAGTATCGATGGCAAAAGCCTTTATTTGTCTTACGTGAGAAACTTTTTTTAATGAGGTTATGTGGACAGCAGAGATGCATACTGACTAATGGTGTTTTCTGTTATTGCAAAGGTGGTGGGAATGTATGATATGTTTCTGCCGTATTGTTCACAAGTCATTATTGCCGATTGCAATGTAATCAGTAAGTTCAAATGGAACTTGCGAGAAATTTTTTTGAAACAAAACACCTTAGCAAAGAACTCGTGAAGTAAGCATTTCAACATTTGCATCAGTGTTAGCTTTAAGCCCTTTGGATCATTCACAATAGGTGTGTTTTAAGGATTCGAGATTGAGTGAGGTACTCTAGAGCCAAAGACTTGCCTCATTCCAATATTGTTGACTTTCTAAACAATGCCTTAAATTAAATCGACACAAAATTCCAATGTTTTGTGCAAAAAAGATATGAAGGTTGCTCACGGTTGGCTTCATCCGTAATACACGAAAAGGGTAATTTTATACTAATCCCTTTAATGTGATTGGCTTCTACAACGCCCGGAGGTGGGTCCTACAAAGGCACAGGAGTAGTCTAACAAGTGGTTCCAGTCATGTGATTTCCACGTGTTAACAAGAGTCTTTTTAATGGTAAAACACCATGGCGCCTTCAAGGTAAACCCACGGTAAATTTGTCAAATAAACAATCCTGATATATTGTAAAAGCGAGTCTAGCTGAAGTGTGGCATGCTCTAGTAAGGCGCTTTGCGATTCTTTGTCGACGTTTACTCAGACCTCACACCAGAATTTCTTCTGAGATTACTT